TGCATATATTTGAGCATAGGCTCTTTTGTTTAATTACCTGCTGCTTTTCTAACACGAAGATTTTGGTTCATTGCTGCTATTTAGCGGTTTAGCTTACTATTCTTTGAATTTCACTCTAATTTCATTCTTTCCTTGATTTTGACATTATCTTACTTGCTGGCTTGTTATCTATCTGGCTTTGTATTTTCACTTCCACTCATCATCATCATCATCTCTTTACTTTTTTTTTCTCGACTGATCTCAACCTTAGTATTTTTATTATTCCGCCCAGATTGCAGTTATCCTTGTGTGGCCTTTGCTATTCTCGCTCACTCTCTCATCTTTCTTTTTGCTTGACTGGCCTGCAACTGGCATCATAGCGAGCGTTCTATTTCCCTACCACCTCTATCCCGCTTGACTGCTGGTCATTCCCTACGATTCCTGCATCCGGCATTATTTCTTCGATGGCGTGCGTTGGGGCTGGTTTCTATTTCCCTCTCACCTATATTCCGCTTGACTGTTTGCTTCGAAGACGTTTTGGAAGACGTTCATCTTCAATTATCGTGTTAAAGAGGTGAATCTGCACACCAAATTTCTGATTATCGATAAATGAATATCAAGACTGAAAAACAGTTTATCAATTTGATCATTTCCATCTCTTGTGCCGACAGGCCGTCACGTCTCTGATACTATTTCTAGATTCAAAAAACATCTCAGGCAGAAAGTTGAAATTAGCGTGTCGGTAAGCTCTTTTACAGATTGAAATGATATCATATACACTAAAAATAAAGCAAAAGCACGATAAATTTGGATTAATAGCCCCCGTGTTAAACATGATATCGTTGACACTAAAGGTGGAACGCGGTAAACTACGCGTGTGATGTATCAATCTATTCATTCTGAAACTACGTCGAGTCCACTAATCACCTTCTCCAGGTTATGATGAAATATAAGATGATTAATGTAAACTAGGCTATGGCTACTCGGTTTTCTATCCTTCTAAGATAAATGCATTCCTTGTGATTCTATTGCAGATCCTCTATGTGAAAGGTATGTGGTGCCCCCTTTCCATTGGTGCCTTGAGCACGTGTTTATTTTTCTCAATGTTTAATTCAGCACTGCACGAATATGCTTTTTTGGTTTAAAATTTCCATCGGGGGCCACTACCCTGCAAGCAGGCTTATTCAGGCATAAATAGTCGCCCAAAGAGCTACAAAACTCCTAGTAACCGCCCTGAGTTTGCAACTATAGACCCAGGTGTAACTTCTAACGAGCAATTTAACACCACAAAACGATCTTTGATAATACTGTATCACAGATGTGCTTTTGACAGAACTTTCCCAGTACCACATTTTCATGTCATGTTGGCGTATGCATGCATTGCGCACTGGTTGCATCCGATTATTTCCTTCTATTATTACACGTCCATTGATTGTTTACAGACGTATTCGTTAAGGTATTTTTATCTATTGTCGGTAGTTGTTTCATCTCGTATTTGACGTGTGAGAGTGTCGAAATTTATGCGTACTGTTCTATATTTTCATTGCATTTACCCGGCTTGAAAACATTTTGGTGAGTGTTTTACCTTTGTTGGTTATGTAGCTGTCGATTTCAGCAGTCTGGGTCATCGATAATTTGGATTTGCCAAATTATCTGTGGCGCTGGCTACTTTGACTAGGGCTACCAACCGCCCAGAAATGACCGAGACAGTCCCGGAATTGAAGTCTGGCGCCTCGTGTCGAGGGCTGGGCTACGGTTGTCCCGGAATGTACTGACAACCATCGCTTTTAAAAATGAAAGGCCATGTAAGCGTGTCGGCTTCGTTCAAAACTGAAAAATAACGCCGCACGATTCTCACTTTTTGGCGCGTAGCGCGTACTGTTGCTTTTGATATATTTTGTGTTTGAATCAATTTTTAAATTCTTGACATTAAAAACAGCTGCAACATCCTCGGCTGACCTAGGAGTACACGTTTAATATTAACGACGGGGTAGGTCGGACTTGTAAAAACTGACCACCAGCAGCAACCTTTTGTTAGCCTATCAGTCGGACTACAACACCAAGGACTTACTTTAATCCTATGTATTTATTTTATTTTTGTAGTTTGGTGTGGCACCTCTAATAATTTAGGATCTTTTTTTATTTCAGGATGTAATATTTGATATGACATAACAGTTAGTCTAATATTTATTTTATCTTCAATATGCATGTTATAGTTTATCTCCCAAACAATATTTCAGTTATATTTGTTCCATATATTTTAATGCTCGATGTCAAGGAAGTTGAAAACCGAAAGTTTGAAAGATTTAGTTTATGGCCACCACATTGGAAAGGCAAAATGGCTGTTGGCCGAAACTGGTGAGTGAATGCATATATATCTGTCCTTGCGTGCCACTCTTTGGTACCCTGTTATAGAGGAAGGCAGAGATAATCATTCAGTTAGTTAGATAATAAGTTTTTGCCTCAAAGGGTATTGTATAACACACCCATTTTTCAAAGGTATTGCCCTATTTCTTATCATAATATATTTTTCTTGGTTACTCATTATATTTACCAATCAGATGTTCTATGAGAATTAATATTTACATTTTCAACTTTAACGCTATTTCATTGGTGTGAAAATTTATCTGTGTCAAAATCTTTTTAATCAAATGATTTTACTTCTTGCACGCAATCATACAATGTTTCATTGGAATCGCTGATTGCATCACAGACACTGTGTCCAAAAACTTGGTGCTCTTGTTAGCCAAACACTTTTTAATTTTAACATTAACTCATTTTAGGCAATTTAGCATAATTCCCATTGTATATTTTATATAAATAATTTATCAATAATATAATCACTTTCAAGATATGTACTCTCATCTCTATATTTTTGCTTATGGACTCATTCCAGGTTAATACTTGTCAAATCTCGGGGGATCCTCAACTAAAAACATACCCACTGGTCGGGACGTGGTGGAAACGAAGAAGTACGCAGAATATCTGTAGTCTTTGTCATCGAAGGTATTTAATATGTGTATTATGTTGCTCATCATCTTTCTCTTCTCTCTCCTATTTTATTGAAACTATTTTTTATTTTAACTTAATCCTTTGGTGTACATTGGTGTGTTCCGATTGTCCATTTATGGTGTTACTAGGGCTGGAAATTCCAGGGAAAACACTTTAACCGTTAACCGGGCAAAATTAACCGGTTAAACGCCGCGTGACGTTTGACGTAATAATTTATAATTTCAGCTTGTTACGTCACAATGCTTATAAAGCATTTTCGCGTGTTCTTATCCCGGTATCGCTTATTAAAATTATTTACGAATCGAGATAGTTTCATGATTGCTCTGCTGCAATAGATATGCAGCGTGGTTCGGGCGTGTGGAAGTATTTAAGAAAACCTGATTCCGTTGTTTAACGTCATTTATGTGACAAATTATCAGTGTTCGATGTGCAAATTTTACTTCGAGATATATATCATATAAAGAAAAACGGCATCAACTGCGCACTTGTTGTTTGACATTGAATATCCGATTTTGCAATGAAATCGTGAACAATATATTTCGAAATCGACCGAAAACTGATTCTGAATTCATCATTGTCAAACTTCCATAATCAGCAATCTTGGTACTTCCATTATTTTTCACATTTATTGAGTCCTTACTCACACAGTTAGTAATATTCTTTTGAATTAAATGCCACAAGAGATAAATTTGCGATGACGTAATCATATTTGAAGAAATTGTACGGTATGAAGATGATTTGTATCTGAGATGTCAGTTAACGGTTGAAATAAATCGTAACCGTTAACCATCTGAAATCGGTTAACCGGTTAACCATTCCCAGCTCTAGGTGTTACACAATATGGTATAATGTAAAATGTCATGATAATTCCATTTCAAATTTGTCACAAAAATATGTCAAATTTCTAAAAACTGCAAAGAAATAAGGTTTAATGACGAAAGACATATAGGTTAGTAAAGATACGAAAATGTTCTCAACATAACGTCGCTTAAACTTTTATTTAAAAATATAAAAATCCACTCAATTTTTGCAGTATAATAATAAATCAATCAATTTATCGCTGACCATTGAATGCAATCTTACTTTCATTTTTTAAATTTGAAAAAAAAAAAAACTGGCCACCCCTAATTTAGAAGTTAAATTTTTACTAATACAAGATTACTACATTGTTTTCCAATTTGGTACTCTTTTTTCAAATTATGTTTCATCTAAGTACTTTACAGTTGTTACGAAATTTGCCAAATTACGAAATTTGGTACCAAGTACTTAGCTTTAGACTCACGCTTTGAAAATTTGTTGGAATTCAGACTTGATTCTAAACTCAGGTGTATAATTTGCGACTCAGGGTCAGTGATATTCTCTGCTCTGGCATTGCTACTATAAATTAAGGTTACCGTGACCTTGCTCTGAGCAGTTCCACATGCACTATAAAATTTAGTTTTGAAATAACTTGTTTTAACTAAAGCAACATAACACATGAAAGTTATATTTTTCGGTTTGGGTGGAAGATGGACCACGATTGATTCTCAAATATATATTTGAGAAATAAAAACCCACTCGTATGTTATTGTTTTTTATTAAATTATGTTACCAGGTAGGATTATTTTGGGGCAACAGCTGTGTACAACATATCGCCTGCGTTGGCCAGACCATATGTCACGCTTGTATTAGAACGCATTGCCTACTTTTGCTCGGCCATATGCCACGGTTGTATTACAAAGAATCGCCTACGTTCGCTCGACCATATGCCATGTCTCTACTACAACGCGAGGACCGACGTTGGGCCAGCGGTCAATTCTTTGCCGGACCATGGATGTTCGCTATTGTTGGGCCGGTGGTACAAACAACGTTCGGCCAGGGTTGTGCCTACGTAGCTGTGATATGGGTCTGTGAATTCCTCTTCAAGCACAATTATATATTCACCAGTTACGACATATTCAAATGTATATTTTTATTATATATATTATATTCATTGATATATTGATTGACAATTTCTAGTATTTAAATCGCAGACGACAATGTATTACGAGTTTCACATAATCAAGTAAACTACTTATTTATTAATTCAAAGATGAAATGTTATTAGCATATCGTTTACAGACATTGTAGTTATACAAAATCTAGTATTCCGAGAAATCCGTTTATCTTCCGGCACAAGAAGAAATAAATTGAAACGTATATCATACTTGCACTTCGAGAAATTCGCAAAATATAGATATCTATACATATATATAGAATATCAGATTTGTTCATAGATTGCAATTGGATTTTATTTTATTAAAAACAATTTACAATTTTTCCTTATTCTCGATATTTACAGCCTATTTAGATGTATTTGTAATGCGATAAAATATTCATGTTCACAATTCATCCCCATTCATTTTCGTTTTAATATTCATCAATAGTCCGGGGATGTTGTAATTTTCAAGGTAATAATCCAAATCGTCTAGCTTGTCGCAATATTCTTTTCTAAAATCGTTTACTTCTCGATCCCCATGCGCTGTCATTTGCAGAACCCGATATGACGTATTTGGTTCGGATTGGTCGGTCTCAAAAAATCTGGGCCAGTATATTTGTCCTTTTGCTTTTGACTGTTGAAATTCTTCTCCTATTTGTTTATTGATAGACTGAATACCATCAAGGTTGTCTGATACTGGAACCTAAAATAAAAACACGCCATAGGCACAATGTATAATACTCAAAAAGTTTGGTTGACTTTGCAATATTTTCTCATTGGAAATAAAGGTATTTCAAATATTTTATCATCTGGCCCTAACATGAAAAGTTGATGAGTGATGTACTATAAGTGTGAGTCAAGTTACTATATATTCTATCTTATTGTAAACAATAATTTTATATAGTTCCAAGAAGGCTGTAATCACCTACCAAGTATCTTTGCTTTAAAGAGAGCAGGCAACCACTAATAGTACCGCAACGGACTCTTATCGGTCTCTACGAACTCTACAGATTTACATCGTAAACCACGAATTTTTGATCTCTAATGAGTCTACCACCCAGAATATTTAAAGTTAATAATACCTCTTGAGCAGTCTCCGGAGGTCCATTTGGGTTTCCATATTTTGCAAAATTAACCCAAAATGTTCTCATTCTTGCAGCGAGTTCTGCTTCACCGTCTTCAAATCTATATTCGGTTAGCTTGTCAATGTCGAATATATACGGAACTTCTTCAGTGTGACATACCATTTCCCAACACAATGTATAGTTTTCCCAAAATTCCTGGATTGAAATAATTATAAAATTTAATAAAAGGTTTTAGATCTTCTTATTCTATAATCTTTTAGTTCTAAACGAGATAAAGCAAGTACCGGGAACGACCAAGTTTCATTGAACGTGTAAAACCAAATGTCAGCATTTTCCTTTGCTTTGTTGCGATCGGAATTCATTGCTTTTCTTCCTGGGCAAGTGAACATGTAGTCGGTGACCGCATCATCCATAGGAATTCTTTCATCACAATCGGTTTCTTGTGGGTTTATTCTTGGACACTGCGTAAATAAAGTATGTTCAGTGATTGCCATGACAACAAGTACGCGGCAGTGCGAAACGACTTCTAATAATATAGAAGATTACGTTTTATGTCTTTAAATTAAATCTTTATACATAATCCCAGATCACATTAAGACTTGCCTTGCGGAATCCAGAAATATAGTTCAAGTACATGCGTTAAAGCGCTCACCTGTGGTGGGTACAAATCAACAACGATGTCTGTATGTTGTCGGAATATAATCTGGGCACTTGCTTTATATATTCTTTGCGATTGAATAGGAGAGGAATAGATCTCGCCAACAAACATGGCACCTTCGTCTTCAACATACCCAACAATCATCGGCTTGTCTTGATTTTTCCCCTGTAAATTTTGGGTCATTAAAGTTTTAGTTAAACGACGAAAATAATGATGGATTATCAAATGGGTCCCCCTATACAAAAAGGTTATTTAACGCACAAAAGTGATTGTTTGATTTAATTCTTTGTGAACGAGTGTCCAACTGTCTGTCGCGTTTCCGCGATTTACGCATCTCTATCCGCAAATGACTCTGATCATAACGATTGTTGCAAAAATAAAAATCATTGCATATAGGTTATGTTTTAATATAAACTCAGTGGTCGTGTATGTAATTTTTGTACTTCCGTTAACATTACCTCTTTAAACAAATACATCGGGTCGTTGTCCAATAAAATCCCATCAAGTATCGGAGAATATGGTTCAAATATTTCTGATATATGCTGCGCGTTTAACTGCATTGCGTAAGGTAAAGTTTTGTAACGTTCCAATAGTTTTTCCATCGATAATTCCCTCAAACAATTCAAGTCGTTAGGACTGAAATAGATATTAATAAAGTTAGTTTTAATGTATATATCAATCTAATGAACCTACGAGTTCGTGAGCTTTCACGTTGCGTTTTGCGGGTCCAAAATGCCAGATTCTAGGTGTCAGATTACAATAATATTGGTTTCTTGATAGAAATAGAATGATGTCATATCCCTACTAGCTAGTGTTGATAATATGGAAGTTCACATTTTAACCAAGACATTGTGAGGTAATTACTATAACTATTTTTTTATTGCCTAGAAATAAATTCTTTCTTACGTGCATCTTGCCCATCTTGCAAAACTGTTTCCCAAAGCCTGTGCAGCAGGTACATCTTTGTATGGCAACCCAAACGGATTACTCTGCATAACTACTCTTTGAAATAAATGATTTACTTCGTCTTGTAACATCAGAACTGCTATGCTTTGAGCTCCGGCACTTTGACCAAACAATGTTACCTAGGATTAAATTTTTCAATGCTAATAAGTTACAATGAAATAGTATGCTGTCATATTTAGTTATTGAGAGTCTAAAACAGTACAGTCACACATTTTGAACTTCTGTCTGATATCTGCTGTTAAGCGTCAAAGTAAATCTGTGAGACGTCCTAAAATGGCGACCTCATAATGCAATTTCCATAGTCAGTTTAGTTTGCATTGTCATTCACGATTTACAGGTCATATTTTTTTTAACAAGTAACTGGCTACAAAGCAAAATAGGCCCGACTTTATTTATTTTACTTATTTAATGAAAAGAACGTGTTTCATTTCTGTACGGTGTACCTGATTGGGGTCTCCACCAAAGTCTGCAATATGTCTGTGAACCCATTCAAGAGCTTTGATTTGGTCGTATATTCCGAAATTTCCAAGTGCAGCTGTAGATGTTCCGTCGTCTTGGTAGAAAAATCCAAATGCGCCTAGTCTTTGAAAAAACATTTTAAAGTTATTTTATATTTTTCACAATACCAACGCGCGACAAATATCAATCCATGTACAGTTTGCATGTACAGTATAGTGTACCGTATGTGATGGGGGGCCTTTTAATCAGATATGTTGTCATGTGTCGTAGGTGTTATGTAGTAGGTACTTATTTCTCTTTTTAGAGACTAGAAACCTTCAGTCAAAATTACATACGCTCGGAGTTAAGATGCTAGGTATGGCCACGTTTCTGATTGACTAAAATAAGGCTCATTTAAATGAAATGCCCTATGTACTAAGGGAATAAAAACTTCGCTGTGAAGTTTACCTGTAGTTTATAGTAACAACAATAATGTCGCCCCATTCAGACAAATATCTTGCGTCATACAGTGGTATTGCATTCCCGCCAGCCATAAACGCACCTCCGTAGATATACACCATAACAGCCAGTTTTTCTTCTGAATCGGACATTAATTTCCGATGTGATGCTTCACGTTTTGTAAGTCGACTTGGAACGAATACATTTAGATTGAGACAATCTTCACTCATCTGTTATAAAATAGAGGGCAGTTATTTCTGTACGACGTAGAATGAACACATACCTTTTACTTATTTGTATAATTTGTGAAAATGTAAACTTGTACCCACGGATTTTTGTATGCAGGAAAATGTTTTATATGATATAACATAATAGAGTCACATTAAAAAGATAGTATCAACTAATATTTTGCCCTTCCCATTTGCAACATAATACCGGTGTCTGGATATCTACATTGAAAACTTGGCAAACCAGGGGTACGTAGACGGACCGCCAAGGCATTTATTTCAGTTGAATAATCATTATTGGCCATTTTTTATCTTGAATATATTTTGCAATAAATATTATATAATATCACTCACGTCTTCTACTGGAGGACATGAATATTCGGGAGAGGGAAACACGCAAACTTGCGGGCACGCTTTTGGTTTTTTAAATGCATCGATTCGCTTGTAGTCATCTTCCACAGGCAATGGATCACGAGGTTTTTGCCACCTGTATTCGCCCGCTGTTGATTGACTGAATGGAAGTCCATAAAATACAGCAGTACTCTCGTTTGTTAAAAATCCTCTAAGTCTCCCAATTCGAGGAACTGAAAAAAATAAAATAAAACTATTGGTTGTTACAACTTCTAAGAAGCAATCAATGAAGTGTACGAAATTGACTTATAGGTTATTTTATCCCCAAGGTAGATTTAGAAATTGGCTTACAGTATAAGTTAGGAACTAACTAAGTGCTATATTATAAATGGAAACGAATATATAGTGCTGAATCCTATTCAAAAATTAAATTAACAATGATGAATCTCTGATGAAGCCAAATTACTGTAGCCTTACTTTGAGCAATGACATATCCTGCATCGACATCCGGAGGTACCAAATCGTTGTTGGATGTGAGTAAAATCGATAGTGTTGTTACAACAATCGCGACAGGAATAAATCCAGCAACAAAAAATGCAATAGTTTTACTTTGAGCCATATTGTTTTACTAATTCACTCGTACTATTTCAAACGATCTAATTCGTATGTTTCTTTCGAGAAAAAAAGGGTGAGCTTAATTTCATATACAACTGAAAGAGTTTATTTTTTATTCTGGACGGGAATCTTATGAGGCTGGTACTGCAAGACCATAACATAATAGCAATGTGGACAACTTTTATACAAGTCTCAGTGGGAACATACTTGAATAACTAACTCAATTCAACCCTTGTTCTTCCTAGAACAGCACGTTAATTGCTGGACTACGTATGACTTGACAATTATTGTACCAACACAATACTACGAGAAGAATATCGTCATAAGGCATTACTTTTAAATATATATTTCAGATAACAAGATTTGACTTGTCATAACAATGTTTGTTCTATGTTTGATAAACTACCACACCATGAACACATGCGATAATTCAATTAATGTAAGGTTTGCATAGAACAGAGCAGCGTGATAAAAATGCGATGTATTACTGTAATTTTGAGTTAATCGATAACGAAATGGTGCAATATTCATTCCTGAATTGTTATGATGCTTATTCTTGTAACATCCACAAGCGTCAACATCGAACAGAAATCTATCGTTCTGCGAAGTCATTGCGATGTTACGAGTTTTGTCATTACAGTAATTGAATTACTTTTAACCCATTTAATAGATTGACACGTGGTGATAAATCAGACGATTACTCAAATAACATTACTTTAAAGATTTTTATCAAATGTGTTTACCACGTGGTAAGATTATGAGATTTGTGTGGCGAGTTCCCACTACTTATTTTGGTGATTCGTAAATCGGCATATAACAGTGCATATGTGTACAGTGCAGTGCATACAACAGTGAAACGATATCTTAGCATTATTCTCAGAAATTTATTAAATTGAATTCGCAAATATCGGCATCTGCCAAAGCTTACATTGATTGAAGTTTTATTGTCGTCCTTGATCTAACTTCCCGCACTAAAACTTATATTGTCTTTGTCATAATTTATTACAATATATCACATTATGTCATTTTTATTAATTTCTTGTAAATGTTTGGGCAAAAACGCTCCTCGTTCAAAAAAACTGTTAGCTGCAGAAGGATATCTGGTTGGCCTTTGCGTGATATCAATTGAAAAAACTTCTGGTTCCTGAGCGTGTTCACCAGAGGTTTCTTTCTGGAGTCGTTCTCGTGAAGAGAGTGATTCGATATTTGATGATCCTCGGCTTATTTTGTCTTCTAAAGCTGACTCTTCGGCCTCGTCAAACTCATGAAATTCATTCTTGAAAAAAAACGTCCGACAATTAACGTAATATGATGTATATATGAAAGAAAAGACGTTGACATAAGCATTTGGGGGATTTTATAATAGTGTTAAACTTTTTGTGACTATCTCATCGTGAGCACTTCCCATAAATATAACTTTTTCTCTCGAAAACAGCTTTTTGTCTTCCCCCATTTTCAGGCGTCTCGTATAAATTGAACGAACATCAGTGGGTTTTTATATATACAACTGAGATTTGATAGATAGTTGTATGATTTCCGTGTGAATTGTGCAGAACAATCGCAATGCTGACTTGTGTATTTTTATTTATTCAGTCTCTTGAAACATAGAAGGTGGCGTGATTGTGACGTGAACTTTCAATATAAGAACTCTTAGAAAACCCGTGTATGAACAAGAGTAACCCTCAGTTATGTATTAGGTTACTATTGTCAACTGACCTAACATAACCCAACATGAAAAGAAAAATGGTCATTCTATTTAATATTGCACTCATCCTTTTGTGATGTTCCTGCTCTTTAAAGTATAAGATATATATAAAAATTTTAAAAAATATGTTCGATATATAAATCGTTGGGTGAAATAAAATCAACATTATTGCCTAGTTTTAACTTGGAGTGTGAAATTCTATAAGACCAATTTGAAAATACCTGAACTAGGTTATGTTTTCATATTCTATTTCTGGTGATTATTGATAGGTTTCTTGGGATTTTCAGAACACATCAATGAGTTTGTTGTTGTTACGAAGGCTTCTAACGTATTATATCGCAGAAAAATTGAAGTAAAAAAGAGAGAAACGCTCAAATATATGGTCTTGAAGGCTAAAATGAAGTAGTATAGGCGTGCAATCGTTCACAGTAGACTACCGATACCGCAGCCTTCACAAAACCGCCACAAGATGCACAATATTTAATTTTAATATGTACATTTCGTGTCCAAATATTAAGTGAAGCTTATTTCAAAACGATAATGAGTGTTTGAACAATACCTCAGCTTGTTGTGCGGCTTCCCTTGCTGCTAGCTTTTTCTTTAGCAGTTCGTGCGATATTGAAGATTCCAATGATAAAGGTTCTGGTGGATGGCAAATATTGCGACATATCATTGTAATTAAGGTCACAGTTTCACAGAATCCTGAAATATGCATTTGTTTTTTACTTTGCAGAAAAAAAATTCAATTATTTTGTTCATTGTGCAATTAAAAATGTAGCTTCAAAATTTCGATTGCATCGGGAAAAATTCTGGCAGTATGCAATGATAGGATAAAAAGTTCAATCTGCATAAGGCATCATGGGTGAATGCACTAAATTGTCATCATAACTCACCTATCGTTGCAAGCAAAATGGCAATTGCAGAATAATCAAACAAGTCTGGTATCGCTGGCGTCGGTGTCGAAGTCGGAGTTTTGATAGTGGGTAACGTTCCTTGATGAAATGGAAATATTTAATTATTTTTACTAAAACTATACTACACAGGTAAAACATAGCAACGTTTCATTGTTGAAAGATTTACCTGTCCAAGGAGGCCACGTAGTTGGCGGTGTTGGAGTAGTGGTAGTTGTAGTCGTTGTTGTTCTAGTTGGCGCGGGTGGTTTTGATGGTAATCCGGGAGGTGTAATCGGTGGTTCGGGCGTAGTTGTTTCGTTTGTAATAATCATAAGATGAATCTGAATTCAATTTTAAAAATGTCATTGCAAATTTTATTATTGAAACACCCAATATTTTTTCTGATTATCTAAAACATATATATATCCCTGACATAACGACTTGAAACATGCTTCTCGGTTTTTAAAATGCCCAACTGGTCATGCAAAATTGTCCCGTTCAATGTAAAGATTCTGTCTAATCGTTAGTTTATTCTTTGTTTACATGAAAGAATTGATTGATGGTTTTGATTAAATGTCATAAAAACCTTACAGTTACCTTAATTTTTTCCAGCACGTCTTCAATTGGTTCCGAAATACTGAAATTTAGTCCACAAAAGCTTATAATATCGTCTCTGGTTTTCAGATTTATGTCACCAGTTTCTATAAAAACAGGCACAATATCCCACTCGCACAGTCGCCTGGCTGCAGGCCTGGGATCGTCAACAGAATAACCATCGGAAAACAAAAACAAAATCCGTTTTGGTGGTTTACGTTGGGGATGATCCGGGTGATGCGGCTGAACCATAAAAGCATTTTCTCCAAGAACGTACCTAGAAAATAAAAGATATGATGATATCGTTCATTTCCTTGTAGTTCAAAATCAAAATACCTGGTGTTCTAACTTTATTCATAATTTTATTATCGGAGATGTCAGTGGACATAACGATCGTTTTGCATTTTATGCTGGCATTCTTCTTCAGGTTGTTGTGTTTTGACACAGAATTTTAACGGTATTAAAAAACCGATTTTTTCTTTTATTACTGGACCAATTGCTTTGAAATATTCAGTGGTTTAAGATTGATTTCTTTGCCAGACGGCTATTACTTTTATTTATTTCAAAAATCTCTGTGAACTTTGAGAGATTCGTTTTTTATGTGTCAGAATAATAAATAGCGGCACCTTGTGACGTGTCCATATATTTGAGCGTAGCTCTCTTGTTTCTATCTTGATTTATAAGAATTTGCAGAACATATGGGACTTAAAATTGTTATTCGTAAATTCTTTATCAAGCAAAAATTCTTTGTATTAAGGAAACACCAAATTTTGTGTTCCTGGTAACGTCGTGGTTGTATTCATATATATAGATTATTATTTATTTTTGAATCGATATATTTTTTAAACAGTGAAATTGCACTGTGACATGTAGAAAAAAATCACTTACAAAAACTGATTCTTCCTGACAAAATCCATTGCCGAGCCGATGTGCGTTTCTCGTAGCGTATGGTTCATTTTATTTAAAGACTGGTAGAACTGAACTCGATTTTTGGGTTGAGCGATGTGCATAAGGACCGTGCATTTGTTGTCGAATGATAAAAGACCAAATCTAGATCCAGCATTTGATGATCTAACTTTGTAAAAAAAGAGAATTATATCTCCTATTTATCAACTAAAGTCAGAATATTGTACCAAAATGCATTTCTCCAATAATTATAGAAAAATATGTCAGGCATGCAATCTTTTGTAGAATGTCAACTCAAAGATACTGGAATAAAATACAGTAAACACCATAAAACAGTTGGATGTTGTTCTAAAAACAGCATGTGCCAACATACCGTAAGGAAGCAGAACGATATCCTATTCCGCCATCAAAATAAAAATGTTTTGTAGCAATTTTGATCCACGATCTCACTGGTTCAAGATCTTTCGATGTTAGACTGGATGATACGTCCACCAAATACACTACAGTTGCATCTAAATAATAGTATGAACAATTTTATCAAATATATTAAGTTCCTTCTCCGACATAATTGGGTTAAAGACTAAGACTGAATGGATTTTGGGCGCTCCAGAAGTGTGTGTACCAATGTGGAGGTAACTAATTTCGTTCGCCTACTTTACATCAAGTTGTGTACATGGACTGAAATCTATGGACGGGGATATATTTACTTGGCTAACACAGACAGTCCACAAACTCGTAATAGCACTGAAACAAGGAAAATCGGAATAAAATTATGGTCTAACCCTAATCTGGCACACACACTACGGGAAACCTAAATTTCAATCAAATTTAAGCTAGAATTTGAATCCGGTTCGATTCGTAACATTATGTCTATATCAATAGTTTGTCAATGTTTGCCAAGTATGTTGAGCCGGCCAAACTTATTTTCAAAGTCTGGGAATGTATTTGCAAGAGGCAAATGCGCCCTAAATCAACTGTGTTGCGTATGTATAAAATGAATTCCCATTGTGAGATATAAGTGAAGAATCAATTATTACACTACAATGCGCTTACCGCTGATTTTGACTTCCTGTTTCGAAGGTTCCCAAACCGCATGAAATCCAGTATCTCTGAAGCCACCGTCAGTGATAAATGTAATGCTTATCCTTTCCTCAGTGCTTAATATGGTGATTTTCTTTTCACCATTTGTTAATTCGCCACTAAATGTCAATGCAACATAATAGCCGACGTAAATTACCTACAGCCCAAGGAAACTCTCCATTACTCTCTTTTGCTCTCTATATCCCTGTTTGAGCACATGTTACGTCGTAAAAACCTACCTCACGTCATTGACTCCATTCAAATCAAATATCAAACTGTCTGTTTATCAAAAATTTAACAATTAACTCCATATATTTGCTTATGATAATTTTACCTTAGTTCTTCAATAATTTGATCTTTCTCTCTTTCATAACCATCATATATTGTAACTTTGTCAAATTTCCTTTCGGTGGCGAACCTGTCAAATCTATAAATAGCAGTTTGTTTAGCAGTTTATCAGAATCTCTGTAATTTTAAAACATGGTCTGGTTTTTAGATGCATTGATGTGTATTGGTTCAAAAGTTGAGACAACAATTAGTCACTGAAATCAGAATTCCCTTTTTTATAGGCTTACAAATTTTTGTGTAACAATGACCTCCGCACTGAAACGACGACTACAATAGCCTAGTGATTAAAACAACACAAAATAAGGTGCTCCTGAAGTATGCGAACCAAGATGGCAGACATCGAAACGTAGCATGGGTAACAGGTTAGGGTTAGGCCATAATTTTTTTCCAATTTCCCTTATTTTAGTCCTACTATGAGTTCGAAGAATAGCCAAGTGCCTCTCGTAGTATTTGTACCTAAAATTATGGCCTAACCCTAACCTAGTACACATATTACATTCCGATGTCCGTCATCTTGGTTCGCATACTTCAGGAGCCCCCAAAATAATTTATTCAGTATCCTAAAAAAATTTTCGAGGGAAGTCCCAAATCCTACATCCTCACAATCCTTCTTATTCATGTGGAAGCAAGTTTGACCTACGTTAGCTCAACCCTGAATCCATATCTAGCTGCAATTCTCCATTCACATTGCACGTGATCATCATACGTTTCCTGATTGTAGAATCCAGGACTCCATATAGATCGTGTTATATGATTCTTCGTATTTTCACAACTTGCACGTAACTCACCGTCTAAAGGCGCACTTGATGGTTAAATTAAAATATCTCACGAGAATTTATATATTCTATACTTGCATGCAAAGAGTATTTTACACAATTAGGTTTGGCGGATAATGCTGGAGATTATTCTCAAATGACTCACCTCCGAAAAACGACATCGGATTTGTGATGAGTCCGAGAATTACATTTAATAATGCTCCAGAAGCTAGTTCGCTGAAGTATCTCAGTTTGAATCCATGATCTCTTCTACTTGCCATAGCCTAAACATAGTTAAAACTATGCACAATGTAAATTAAGATAAGATATTCAGCACACTTCAGTTACTACACGTCTGTGCATATGATAAATGACTAGAAATTCAGAATAAAGAGCTCATAACTACTAAATTATACTACCGTGAGGCATAAAACATTACTGAACCATGTTGACGTCATGGATTTAACATCTTTGACCCACCAAGGATGTAATAAACCGGTTAGTGTTAGTCAATACAGAAGTGGAAAGATTGCGGCCTCCAAATATAGTATCTACTAATGTAACATGAGCTACTATAAGCAGACACACTTGTTAGAGCTCAAATACGGTGGACGGAAAAATTCAATTCTAAATCGGGCTTGAAAAATTACTAAACGTCAGGTCGGAAACTTAACCTGTATCACTGGGATCAGTCAAATAATTACAAAGATATATGGAACTTCAGTTAGTTTTGATAACTAAAAATGCTGTCCCTACTATCGCGTATAGTCTTGACATATCTTCGTATGTTCTTCCTGATTTAATTTTCCAATAACGAGGATCATCGTCGTCATCGTCAAATGCAGTTGTTTCTTGTTCACTCGAACGAAACTTTCGAAATATATTTCTGAAATATTCCGCTTCTGCTTCTTCAACAAATAACTCATTCTGGCTAAAACAAGGTACAGGTTTATTTCATTTTAGGTATAAGATATTGCAATACGGAGTTTGATGACCAGAAAATCTCATGGATTCGTGAACTTAATTTCAATTTAATATTAGACTTGAATCAAACAAGACCATATTTACATTTGACTTTGTGCTCGTTATGAAAATCGAATTCACTAACCTCAATGGCCCAGAATGTCTTTGACGTAATCCGCTGTTTCGGTGTCTTGGTTGCCTGTGAAAGATATGCAAATGCTGTTGCATCGTATTGCATTTTGTTAAATGACGTCATAATCATGAAAATGAAGTTTTTGCTATAAATTTATGGATGACTATTGTGCTCGGTTGACATAGAATATAGATTGAGTGATTTATCGATCAACGGAAATATTTTATTTAAAAATCGCTTCAAATAACACCAGTTATATTATCTATAATTTCAGACAAATATTTGGAATACGCTTGTCGCACATTTGAGAATTTGTATTACTAGCTAGCATAGTTAGGTCTCGTGCGTGACCAAGAATCAAATCCAAGATTTGTAATCGGCAATGGAAATTCAGGTAGGGCAACATGCACACGACGAGACAAAGTCATTGTGAGCGGTGAAATAGGGTGGACAAACAGTTTAATTGCCAACTTATGTATAAAATAAGTACATATATGCTGTGTAGAAATACAATTTATATGAAATAATTACCTGTTCGGCTCCGAATCAATTACGATACTGACAACATGTGCACCGGCATCTTTACATGCTCTTATCTCGTCCACAGCACTGTCGAGAAGTCGATAACTCATATAAGGTGATTGGAAGTTGAATACTAAGATCAGCAAGGTTGGCTTCTTCCTCGCTAAACCGCCCTTCAAGTATTGACCTGTGAATGCATTTAATAAAATAGAAAACTTTTAATTAGTCAACGAAAAAAAGAATTTTGGACAAAAATAAAAATTCAAAACTTTGTGCTCTTAAAGCTTTTGTAAATCTATAAAATTATGAATTCATTTGGGATGTAATATCACTAACCTCGAATAAATTGAAGGGGTCTCACAAAGTCGATTGGATGGGGCGATACTACTATGTGATCTGCTATTGGGAATTGTTGCATTCTCGTCTGGTTATACATCGTCATTTCGCGATCAATTTTCATCAAAAGATGGGTGCGATCTGTTTGACAGCACGTTTCAAAGTTGACAAAATTCAATGCATTGTCTGTTACTATGTCTACCCCAACACGACTCTCGTTTATTTTCGATCCAACCAAACTCATCGCTTGTACGCCTTGACCAATAAACTTTTGGACGTAACCAAAATCCTGATCCTGCAAAAATCGTTATTTGTAATGTATGTACTGGGTGGGGTTTGAGGTACGTAATTTGATAACGCCAAATGCAATGAATAGCGATATTGCATCACAAATTTGTTACTGATTTTTTTGTGCATTATAGGTATGTGAGGCTAACACGGCAATTCAATTTTCAATCGTTCGTTTTGAATAATGTCCCTCCTGTATGTTACATGCGATTTTGAAAATTAAATTTGAACTCACTGACACTCCAGATCTTTGAACTACGTATATTACATCTGGATGTGCACTGAAATCTTCTCCTGGGTGAGCAATAGCACTGCGGGTTTCTGCTTCGTTCGCAACGCGATGTAAAGTGATTTCATCAACTAATACTTCTTCTCTTTCTGTAGTCACATTTGAAATCAGATCGGGGATAATTGTAGCATTGGTAGTAAATTCGGTTAGGTTAACGTTTGGAACTGTTACAGATTGCGAAACGATATCAGCGACCATCATAATAAAGCAAACTGTAGCTTTAAAGTCCATAATAGCTACAAGAAGCAATGATATTTGTTCATCTAAGTTTACAATTTTATTGTGTATCGTTTGTAATTTTGTTTAAAAATATTATATTATGACGCAACAGAGGCCTATTGAAAATTATAAAGATCAGAAATAATGTTATCCTTATATTAACCTGTCTCTCAACTGTAACTGCCAACTTTTCTACTGCTCCATTCTCTAATAAAAATATTAACAGTTTTTTTTTCTCTTGAAATACCTTTTCTTTCGACCTATCTGACTATATATACAGTGCAGTTCGATCGCGCTATTCAATCAAATGAACCAAGTTTAAAATGTTGTAGCAACTATAACCTTATGATCTTACCACTGCATTTCGATCCACGGGAAATTGAATAAGTAATTACACAATCAAATCCAATCATAAAAATTTATTGCCACAAATTATGTAAATTCAATATCCAAATCAGATTCTTTTGGTACAATATGATGTTGTGGAAGAACTGCTCTTCTTGTGAAAAAACTGTTTACTGCTTGGGGATATCGAGATACCATTCGCCTTTTCTTTCTTGGTTCTTCTGGAGGTTTTGGTAGTTTTGCTAATCGGAGTTTTTCAAATTTTGGAAGTTCATCAAACTGTAAGTAAGTCGCATATTACAAAAAAATATGTTACAGTGTGGACTGTAAATGCACTGGACTAAGCAAATAACACAACAATGTTCTCATCTTATGCTATTCCAGAATATGCAGTCACAAATCCAGTTTATATAGGAGCAAGAATACGTTTACCTCTATTTTCTCTCTTCGTCTTCTTTCCGCAACCATAGACGCAGTTGATTCACTTGAAATCAATGGAATTTCCAAAGTAGAATTATAGGATACTAAAATTCCGAGCAAGATTGTCTGAACTATCCCTAAATAAAAGACGAAACAGATATATTTTTGATAAACAGTGATATAATTTTGGAATTTTGAGTGATTAAATGCTTTTGCTCAGGCTCCTGCATGATAAATACCATTTGTTTACAGTATACTTCTTAACTACATTCATTTAATCAAAAACTGAACCGATGAAGCGCTTTGTACAAATATGGACTATTACACGCAGGGCTGATAAAAAAAATATAAAAACGCATATACATATACCATGCATCTGAAATAGCGATAGGTTGTTGATATTCAAAATATTATGAGGGTCGATAAGACAGTAAGACTTTGTTATATAGGATTGGGGAATCTCGCTTGGATTATAAAATCAACGTTATCTTTTTTAATATATCGTCTATTTATCAATGTACTTACCAATAGTCACAAGAAGTCCCGCAACACCACTGTAGTTGAATTCATCTGGCGGGGGAACAAATGGCGTTGTTGGAGGTAGAGTTGGGTAGGTACCTGAAAAGAAAAGAAAAAAACGCTTAGGCTATTTCAATTGTAAGTCACGAAGAACGTTTTACCCGTTTTTTTGGTTAGAGATATTGTAGAGCAAAAGTAGTATCAAAGTCAGAGTGAACTCATTGTAGTTTTAAAAATTAATCCAAGTTCATAATTGTCTTTATGACCAAACTCATGAGCACATTTAAATTCATGTACCGAATAAATTGACAGCAAATTTGTTGAAAAAAATCTATTATATTTTTCAAAATCTAGATTACCAGTATACGGATATGTAGGAGCAGGAGTCGGGGGAGGTGATATTGTTGTTGTAGTCGTTGTTGTTGTGGTTGGAGGTTTTGATGGTAAGGTCGTTGGAGGGGTGGTAGTGGGTGGCAACGTTGTAGCTGGCTTCCATATTCCCCATACTTTCTAAATAAATACAAGGAAAGCGGTTTTATATTTTTCTTTAGCGACAATGGCCATTCTAAAACTATAATTGCAAAATACTGTAATGGGAATTGACAAATATCAGCAATTTTGCTTATACTTCCTTGTTCTTCCAATTAAAATTGAATAGATAAGGAAAATATTTAATCAATTAGATTGTTATCAAGGAAATTAACGAATGTCGTGGAATTGATGTTCATTTTCTGAAATTTATTGGTAAACATGTCGTAAAATGAAACATGACAGTGAATTAGACTGATTTATGTCTCTTATCACATCCCTATTTGGAAATCTAAAATTAAAAAAAGATAAAACGTACTAACTTTAAGTTCTTCTATGACTTCAGGTACAGGAGTTTCAATATCAAATGCCAAACCACACTCCGACACAAGATCTTCGCGCACTTGGAGATTTATAACCCCGATACCAATGAAAACTGGTATGATATTCCATTTACACAAGCGTTTTATTGCCGGCCTTGGATCATCTACAGAATGCCAGTCGGAAAATATGAAAATTACTCGACGGGGAATTTCAGCATTTTCATTTGTATGGTCGGAACCCGCTTTTCCCGCTGCTCTTGTTTTGGGTGTGAAGGCAGATTCTCCCAAAATGAATCTGTTAAATGTATATGTGAGCTTTATGTTAACTTTATAAAACAAAACAAGATATAGTCAAAGCGGATTGTTGTAATTGGTTATGATTTGGAATATCGATTAGGATACTTATTTGCCTATAATATTGCTGATTATTTCCGCATTTGAAATATTTCCATACACATTAAGTAATCCATTTGTAAAATTATTCTAGGTCTTACAAAAATTGTTTCAGCCTGGCAAAATCCAACGCCTTTCCAAGATACGTGGGTTCACTTGTTCTGTTCACTGATATCACTGCTGACTGCAGGCTCGGTAAATATGTAGATTCATCGATGTTCTTTATAACTTGTTGATCTTTTGCAAATGCCACCAAGCCAATTTTACAACCCACTTTTTCATAATCTACTGAAACTTCTCTCTTTTTCCGATTTTTCAGGCGAATTCTTGGAAATCTGAATTCTCATTTTAAAACGTGAGTATCAAAGTCATATCGCATTTATACTAAATTCTCATTGAGAAAATATAAAGACATTCTACACTTAATATTTTTAACTCGGTATCCTGGGATTGGGTCTAGCAGCAATCAGAATACTATATGTTATAATGTACAACTATTTTTAGGTTGATTTCAATGTTATCAACCTCAATATTGTCTGATAAGGATTTGGCACGAGTTCATTATATATATAATTTTTTTTATATTACTTCAAAGTGTATCACGTTACGCGATGCGTGGTTTGATAAATGAGGATTTTGTACACGGTTCTAGTCCTGGAGTTGGCTTGTTCGACGCTTTTGAAACTGACATGAATATTACTCAATAATTTTAGAACGAAACCGTTTCGAGGTAAAATTCATGTTCAAACGAATTCAAATTTTCAACACATTCAAAATACTTTACATTGCCCTTCCAACATTTGGTGGAGGGAGTTCCGTTTCATCTCCATTTTCCCCATTATTAGCGTCTCCAGTTCTTTTCAGAGTAAAATATTTTGTTCCTGAGCCAATCCAATCTTTTATGGGATCCAAATCTTCCTCGGTCATACTACCAGAAGTGTCGATTAAATAGACAATGCTAACATCTAAATAAGTCACAATAGAATTATTTGTCACAGTCAAGTAAGTATTTCCCGCTCTGGTGACTATGTTTCCAATTATTTCGTTCAGCACACTACCAAATCAATCAGCAATGCAAGAATAATTGGAAAGTTACATAATTTGGATACCCCACTTACTATCAATCTCTTCGTTCCCAAAAATTGGATTCCAGAATGCATGGAATCCCTTTTCATTATTCCCTCCGTCTGCTTGAAAATACAGAATCATGTTTGAAGTAGTACTGTTCACTGTAAATGATAATCCTTCTGATGCCAATTCCCCACTGAAACAAAACATCCAGTTGGATCCTTGCTTATATACATATACGCAAATGCATCACGGGTTTAAGACTATAATAGAGCAAGGAAAGTACTTCTGGATTGGCCTGTTATTTAAATATCTACATGCAGGAATCTTATTTTGACAAAGATGTCAGTATATAGCAGTTACCCGGATGTTCGCTAGGTGGAAGAAAATACCAAAATGCTGAGGCTATTGAAAAAACGCTATAAAATTTTCGTGGCAAAACTGTGTTGGACGAATATTGATCTCTGCATTGAATTTAGCTATGATCCAGTAAATATATGAAAAACTACTATGCGTGTTACTAACTAGTGGGTTTACCTGTAAACTTCAATTACAGGTGCTGTTTCTCTGTTGTCACCGTCATAAATCGTAACTCGATCGAATGTCGTTTCAGTTTTGAAATCATCAAATCTGCGTTATGATATATAGAGATTTGTGTCGCACAATTCGCTACCTTTAATTATCCTCATGCTAGCCTACAGTTTTATATATATCTATCCTAAATTAAAACACAACATTATTTAAATCAAATTTTAATTGAAAAAGATCTATGCTTCAAAATTGTTAGTCATTCGTCATTTTATTGAAGAAGAAAAAACACGCTCACATTGCTCACAAAAGTTATATTACTTACGTAATCGATATTAGATGACCCTCTGAAACGCTAATCTTCCATTCACATTCTTTACCATTGGGATATTCGCCTTTGGTGAAATAATCGGGAGACCATATTACTCTTTGAATGAGGTTTCTTGTTCCCCAGCAACTAGCCTCGACAGATCCAACTAAATACGTAATTAAAATTTGATTAGGGTTAGACGTTAGACAGTCAAATTAGAGGCAAAATTCTCGGAAAAATAGCAATGAAATGGCTAGAAATGGCTAATTCAACAATAGCAAGAGTTCTTAAGAATAATTCGCAAGCGTGGATCGTTACCGCCATTGTATGCAAACTTTTGCGTTTTATTTTCTTGTTTCTAATTTAGTAAATTTATCAAATCTTATTCTTCCTGCCTGTCAGAAAAATGTTCAGACCAATGCGCTAAAAGTATTCTTAAACATATTTTTTTTATACTATTCAATATTATTTGAAAAATATAATTTCCGTACCACCAAACCATGACATTGGATTTGATATGACTCCCAATAACACTGCAAAAATGTCTCTTCTTCCTATTTCACCAAATGTATTCAATTTGAATCCGTGTTCAGGGTTACTTGACAAAGCCTGAGAATGAAATCTCAGGAATGATAAAAAACAAGAGAGCAATGCTCAAATATATGGACACGAAAGTCACAACGAAATAGTACGGGCATCAAACTCGCCACAAGGTGCGCAATTTTTAATTTTGCTGACGTCATCACACACAATAAACGAACACCATAGAGGCCACAACATTTTTGAAATAAATAAATGTGATGGCTTTCTAGCGATTTTTTACTATAACAACTACAAGAAAGAGAAAAAAGAAAATGAACAACATAAATATAAAACGATCCATAGGGTCAAACATTGAAGTCTTACCCTCGCATATTGCAGAACCAAATTCTTGTAAAGCTTATCTGGATCTACTCTGGTTTCACTCAATTTTGCAATTCCATTTACCAATGGTTCGTCAACGCCTTCGTACTTCTCCAACACTTGGCGTAAATATTTTTCATTCGCAGCAAAGTTTGGTTTGCGTCGACTAAATATTTTACCACTGTTAGTTTTTAGCTCATACCCAGTATCGTACCCAAAATGTAGTAAATTGTGATACATGAAAAATCATAATCCGTCTTGCAAGAATGATGATTTGTTTACATATAACAAGTAAAAACTGTAAATTTTAAACGCAAATAAAGTACAATTTCTTTCAATATTGTTCCAAGCGTTTTTCTAAGTTGTTTTAGGTTAGCGGTGCAATACCTACTTTATGTAATCTCGGATCTTCTTCAGTTGTTTTCGTGTTATAGACAATTCATAATTTTCTCCATTACTTCTTGATATTTCATTGTCGATGTCTTCTTTAAAATGGGGCTGCCTGACAATTCAGTATTAGATTTTGATTTCGATATAATCGAAAACATATTTATTAGCTGGAGAAGTAAATTTGCATATTTTACACTGAGCGAATGGTATTACTCACCTGTTTTGCAGGGGATCCACAATTATAGTGACAACGTGCACTCCCAATGACTTGAGTTTTTTCACTTCTCGAACTGCTCCATTCAACATATTGAAACTCATTTTATCGGATAAAAAATTTATCAACATAAACACAATTGTTGGCTTGTACAAAGGAAGTAGTTCGTCAGAAATGTGCTTTTCTGAGAATATATATTTTTGAGTTTGGTTGCTTCTCCAACTGTGTGTTAAAACAGCTATGTTTTATAGATATGCGTATACTTAAAAGTATTGTATGTTCTACGGTTAATCAAACTCCATTTTTGTTTATTTCCATTATTGGCATGATCATTGTCGTTTTCGCAAAATTTTCCAGCCAAAGTTTGGCAATAAAGAACTATTCTGTAATTCTTGAAATTTGCTATGAAGTCTGCTTATATCATTCCTCACTAATTATATAAATGACAAAATGCTTCTTTTCTTTTGAGTACTTTGTTTGTTTTTCTTTATTACATATATATATATACGTGCCCAGAGCTGACATGCGTCTATTTAGATTGGCGATATATATTCAACATGCCAGTCGACCAAAATAAATAAGCTCATACTAAAATTCAATTCACCTCGGATTGCAAGAAGTCCATATTCAAGATCGAGTGACTCCGATGATAAATCCGTGTGATTCTGCCTGTCATAAACTCTCAATGTTTCTTCGTCCATCAGCACCATTTTATGATTGACCATATAATCAAGTTGGCCCAAGCCACTTTGACAGCAGTCTCGAAATGTAATTAAATGTTGAGATAGTGCTGTAAACGTCGTGATTCCGAATCTTGTTTTTTCTTTTTTGTCTCCAATGGAACGAGCTGCCCTAGCGCATTCTTTGATGAACATTTTGATGATGTCGAATTCTTTTTGCTGAATCATGAGATATTTGATTTTGGCGTTTTAGTAGTTCTAGTTTAGAAATTTTCAAGCAAGCCTTTAGTCTATATTTAACCGATACAGATGTTCGAAACGGTTTGTTTGTTTTTAAAATGTTAGAAGTTAAATTCTTAGATCGTAATCTGTCTTTACATTTCAGCACCAAAAATACTAATCTCTTCTGTAAGGAATCAGGCACTGACAAAATCTAATTAATTATTAGTCAAAGTTTTTAAGTTTTAGAAAGCGAAAAAAATGCGCGTTTTAAACTCGAAAATGAGTCTTTGATATGCTGATATATATATGATTTGCAAATTTAAAACTTGGATGTGCGAAATGTTCGGCGGGAATATTTGGATTTAAAAATAAAAAACGAAAAATGCGCTCCACTATACGTTTCGACTGTGGATTTTAAATCGAAAAAATGAACTAAAGCCAGGAAGTAAGAACCCACCTATGGATTAACATTTCGTTTCACTTATCTGTATATTTTATTCATGTAATGTTTATTTGTTCAGCAAAATTCTTGGCATGTGGAATTTATAAATACTCAATAAATATGCTGAATAGAATTCTTACCGTTATACCCGGTCTTTGTACCAGGAAGATAACATCCGGATATTCCGTTAGATCCAACTGCGGATCAGTAAACACTGGAGCTTTTGTTCTGCTTTGCCGAATTTCATGCTTTGCGGTCTTAGATATGTATCTCGGAATGAAGTCTTTGCCATTGTTGGGTATTGAAGTTTTGGTAATGTGTACCAAGAACGACAACAAGATAATATACTCCAAAACTTTCATCGTGGTCCTTTATGTGTAAAATTAGTAACAAAATTTTTGTGTTTATCGATCACAGTAGTTAAAATACAGATTGTGACGAAACAATGGATATTTTAAAAATGCCTGTTTAGTTTTTCACTGAATTTGAAATTTGTCTCGATGCGATTACTCACCTCTGCTCATTATGTTGGACAGTCTTTAAAATATAACTTGAGTCAATAATGAATTGTCCGCTATAAAAGTAATCACCTTTGTCCAATTTTACGAGCACAGCAATTTAAAATATGTTTGTGAAATATTGACTGCAAAGTTTCGAATGGCAGTATTTTAACACACCATTTTCACATCTGATATATATTTAGGTAATTCTCTATTGTCTATGCTAGCATTTCCCAACCTTTTTTGATCGCGGACTATTTTCTCACCGGCGAAAACCTTTGCGGACCAAACACAACAGAATTTTAACGGCACAATATTCAACCCATGACAATGACGAGAATTTAAAATGTCTTTCTATTTTATTTTAATTGTGTTCATGGTAACTCGCGGTTGAGTCGACGGGTTACGAAAGGATGAAAGCATTACTTCTTTAAAATGCCACGGCAATCTGCGAACATAATAATGTGAGAATATATTGCCCGATTATATTTAATTTTGATACATATTTTTATATATTTTATATATTTATATACATTTGTTATCGCCGTTAGAAAAATCCTACTATCTGCTATAAATTTTCAGAAAGTACAACTTGATTTAGTACTTATTAAGAATATATTTAAAGTATATATATTAGTAAATCAAAAATACATATTCATTGCCTTGCTTTATTATTAATTTTATGTGATCTTTTTAATCTGCGGTTTGTCTGGACGAAATAAAAGCAATAATACTCAGAAAATATCATGACAATCCGTGAACATAAAAATGCGTGGCAAATTGCCCGATTATATTTTGTTTTAATTCTTATTTTTGTGAATTCGACAAATCTGAGCTGTTCGTACAACACTTACGGCGGTTACTGTACGTACCAATGTGGAGGGAGTAAAGCAAATAATCCTAAGGGAAAAAATTATGGTGCTCCCCGTTTTATTTTTAGTATTTTGTATTGCCGCTTTTCAATTTAGAAAATTTGGGTTGCCACAATTGACACCTGCCAGAAAAAAAAATTCTTCCTAGTTGTTCGAACTCGCGAAAAACACCATCTATCGTTACGTGTGCAGACTCGTGTTTTCGTCGGAAATCCGCAAGTGAGTCCCATCGTTTGATTAAGCGATGCGCAAGTGAACTGTCGCGTCACCTGTTATCAAATTTTCGAATAGTAAATTGCTATTCTAATAGTTGAATATTCGAATATATGCTCAGCCCTACTCATTATCCAGTAAATATTATCTCGATTAATGTTATGTGAATAAACTTGCTTTTTATGTAAATTCTAACGTAAATCGTAACTGCTGATAGTTAAGTTTCGCAAAAACGTTCGTGGCCCGCAATGAATTTCTGGCTCGTTGCGGACTCATTCAAATGCTCTGCGGACTCATTTGAAACCGCGGACTCGGGTTGGGAAACACTGGTCTATGCACACTCGTATCCCGTAAAAACTGCGTTAAGAATGTTCTGATTTTTGCGTGTCAACAACTGAATGGGTTTCCTTTTACATAAACCTGTTACGATTTTGCCGCAAGTGGGCAGCGCTGGTCACAAAGTAACCGCACATCTTCAACTGAAATCTATTATTGTTCGAGGCGTTGTCTTAAGACTTAAAGTACGATTGATCGACGCGTTTTAAATTTCTTCCCTTCTATATTTAAGATTCTAAAATATTTTACAGTTCACACGCATCGATAACTTATACGCATGTGGCCGGAAAGGCGTCAATGATCAGAATTGAAATTGAACCGTAAGTATACACTCACCCCCGCTGTTTCCATAAATAGGAGTCGTACAAGACTTTGTCGTTTAGCACTCAGAAAAAAAAAGTTCGTGAAACATTTCTCAAATGCCAATCTATATTTCAGTTCAAATACTCAAGCATGAATCAATCAACAATGATTAATATATATCGTTGTCTATTATGAAGAGCCTAGCGCTTGATCTTGAACGGAATTCTTCATGAAAAAGAGAAATACCTCCTGTCAAAAAATAACTTTGTTCTATACAAAAATAACAAAACTTACATAAAACTGATAAAACTAGACCACAAGTGACCGCAAACTTGAAAAAAGATCCTCTGCTCTAAAGACAACAAACACAACGTTAGAGGCATTCGTTTATTCTGTGCTGAATAATAAATACAAAAGGAACAAGTTTATAATGTATTTACAGTGGAAATACATATACATAGTTTTTAGGAATGTAGTTTCGCAATAATATACAACTGAAATATTGGTATATTTAGATAGATGACTGAATCCACATTGAAGCTAGTTTGAAAACCACGCAACAGCAGTCACCTACTAGCTCTAAACTGAAAGCAAAATACCATAATTTATCAGAATAAGGTATATAAAATAGGTAACCTGGGTTGCATTTGAATAGAATTTCCAAAGAAATGGTAAACTGTCAGAGTAGATAATTTTTTTTTTTTGTTCATTGTTTTAGTTACAAAGTAAGACTCGGTTTCCCGACAATTCGTTATTTTCTGGCGGAACGAATTCAGATAGATATAGATTCTGATAAAAATCGTTGTGTCGTAAGCAAAAACAACATGTCAAAGGATATTGTTGAAAAAAGGCATAGACTGGAAAGGCGTTCTGTATATTTCTCAATTTAAATGTTGTTTTTTGCACTTTTGGGACTAGGTCCAGTTTTTTATTCGCCGATTTTGTTGCCGTTCCATTTATGAACTTTCATGTAATATCTGCTTTCATATCACTGAAAATCGTTTGGAATCCATTGACAATCTGGTGATTCCGATTAGCCTTAGCGGAGATGTCCCTCCGAGAAGAGAGTTCGGCCCTCGAAGGAACGCACTGGGAAGGTCTGAAGCTAAAAATAGATAAAAGATATATTTTTATTCGTCGTCATCGAAATCAACGACAATTCAACCTAGTCGAACAATGTCTATTTAAACTGGTTTTATATATTAATATATTCTTCATCCTTGCGCGTCATAAATTATGCTTCATTTAAAGCAGTTACACTCTGCTCCTGTTATTATTAATATTAATAGATTCGGCTGAGTAATTGGGGATTTAACCAGTTGTTCCTCACTTATTAGTTCCGCGGCTATTCGTCTCATTCTTCAATATTAAGATAATATGTAACTATGACATCGTAGGCGAGAATGCCACAAATATGCGACTAATTGTCGGTGTCCGTGGTCAAAAATAGCAATTGAATTATAAGAAATTAGCTATATTTACCAAATTATGGTTTAAACGTATTATGCGTTGCCTTTCAATAATGTCGTGATTAAAAGAATAATGTGATTTAATTGCGTCTGACTTGTCGACAAGTTGGCTGGTATTTTTGACACCTTTTCATTAAGACAAATTATAATTGAAAGCTTCATTTTTGATGAAACGTATACATTATAAATATTTCGGTTTCCATTTTTCGAAATAAATTGTATGAAATTGTTAAAACGCATTTTCATAGCGTTATTACAAATATTAATTTTAGTAGTTATCAATTTCTGTGGCGTACATTCACTGTAATATTTATACAATAATCTTTTACCACGAAGAAAAAGTTTAGTGCTGAACACACGGGACGCAGCGGCCGGGAATAATCCGATCAAGTTTCCTCAATCTTACTCCACAAGATTGCACAAATTTAGGAAACATTTATAATAAGTATTATCGATATTAAATTGCCTATTTTATTTAAATCAAAACACACTTACATCTTAATTGCTCAGTTAATTCCTCTTCTAATTCTAACTCCCATGTGAAATCATCCAACATTGTTGCATGCTCATCACAAGTTTTTTGCGCTCTCAATTGAACCAAGTCATGTCTTCCGTCTAACAGTTGCCGTGCGAGGTTGTTGTCCTGTATTCTCATATCCAACTGCAAAATAAAATATTCCCTATTAAGTTTTGACTTTTAATTTATATAGTTGTTCATAATATTAAATACAAGAACTGAGAAATAATAAATAATTTTAAAACTTTGAACTTTGTAAACACCGCAAATACCATTTTCAGTTCAATTATCAACTTAGCGTACTACTCTGTACTTGGTGTAAGAACATGGCAATAGTTATACAATAGGATTACTAGATTCGTATTATTACTGTAAATTATTTCTTAATCTAAACATTGTATTACTGATTCCAGCACTTGAAGTATTAGTTGTACTTGTAACACATGCATAACAGATTCATATCGGCGGTGCGTCACTAAGCACATGGATATACTAAGCGTATACGCAAGTTTCGTACGTAGCTTGTTACCAAGGTAACAGACACTTTGACGAAAATAAGACTAGATGTTTTTGAGCAATTTAATTTAAATTTTAAATTTGTCCGTGACTATTTGCCAATTATTGAAACGATGTTCACATACATGCGTCAATACTAAAATTCAGCACATAGGGAGAAGTATGTATCTTTCTCATTCCCGGGCTTACTTTTTTCTATCGAACGCACAAGTATAGTTGGCGATGCAGATGTTTGACGCCGTGATTGAATCATCGCTTATTAGGTCTTGATTGCGGTAAAAGATTGGCAGCTGCCCGAAAACCAATAAATCGTCCACAAAACTGAAACCGTGATTTATTCGTGCTATATTTACTCTGCTAATTCATCTTGATATTCACTACTAAGTCATACAGGATTTTCACTTTGTCGAGAGGGCAGGTATATCACACTCACTCAAATTAATAAGGTCAATTCTGTAAACCAAACTACTTCATATAAATTGAGTGGGTGGTTGCAACCTTGCTTAAACAAGTGTATATAAATACCAATCATTTGTTTATATTTAATCGAATTATCAAATCGAAATGAACGAGATTATCTCCTGCATTTCTTGTTTGAGGTCCTACGAGTTGTTACATGTTATCCATGTCTCGCATACTATCTGTTATATGGTAAACATTGGATTAAGAGTATTAGCGCGTTCCATAGGTTGGTACGGAATATGTAATAATCCGAAATGAATTGAAGTATGTAATGGTAAAACTTTCCTCAAATACAGGAATGTATATTTGAAGAAGATACAATCTTGTTAACCGGAAGCATTTTCATTAATCTCATTCTAATACATAACGTATTTTCTCTTCTACATTCAACATTTTTATTCTCAGCACTTTGTTTAGGATGCGACTCGAAACACTATTATGCTTGAGATAAGCATTTCGTGCATTTAAATTTGGGCAATAGCTTATAGTTTTCATTGGAATGAATTTCAATTAAGTAGTAATTACCAGAAAATAAATTACTCTTTCATACCAAATCTGTGCGTAGTCTTTCCAAAGCCATTCCCATTCTCTTGTATCTCGCCCCAGTAGTTTCATTTTCCTTATTCTGAATGTCAATTTCTGATTTTGCGTCAAGACGCAAGGCGTATTGTTTAATTTTCTTTTGACTGTCTTCTATGCTTCTTTGCCGAAAATATTTACTTGCGTATGGTTTACGTATTTTAGTATCGTCAATCTTACAATTGTTAACATTCAATGACGCAGTTCTGTCAGTTTGAACTTGCGTTAGTTGGATGCCAGGTTTGCTCTGTCTTTTCAAATTCTCAATAGTAGAAATGACGCAGTTTGTGTCTGTTGCGCTGTCAAATGATTTTGACTTTGTCGTCGAACTTGAATCATCCTTTCGTTGTTTATTTTGCTCGGATTTGTTTGTGATAATTGGCGCGCTGTTGGGCTCTACAGACGAGTTTGCTTCTTTCTTCAGTTTCAAAGGTATTCTGTGAAATAATTCAAATGTATCTGAATTATATATTTCAGAGAAAAAATGCCACACTGTATTCAAAACCCAGATGACACAAGCCCTAATTCGGCCAGCAAGGTTTTATTCAAATAAGGAAATCAATAGTCGACACAATAAGCTCTTGTGATTCGTTTGCTAGACGTAAATATTAACTTATTTCGGCCACATATCTATACATTTTTCAAAATTCATCTATTAAATCCAATCTCTACACTATTTAATTTATTTTTTATTTATTTATTTAGGAAAATTATAGTCTATAATTTCCAACTTTATAATATTATTTTGCTCTAGTGTAGATTTTACGATAATTCGTCATAGTTAATAACAAACTTTTCAAAACAAATTTTGAGATTGTTTCTTATTGAGTTGGTGGCAATAATTTGTAGGTTGTGCGATATTTATGTATAAATCGATGACTCCTCAATTTTTGAATCATACGAATCATACTGACGCACTTTATAATACTCCCAAATCAAAAAATGCATGCAAATTTACGTTTTCTGGTAATTTATATAAGGTAATTTTCCGTAAAATTACCTTAAAAGGACAGTCCATTTCATACGACCGTGACGAAATCTGGGAGAATTTCTTTTTTTTTTGTAACAAAAAACGCGACAAATTGATACAGATAACGCATTGTATTCCGATTTTTTTAATGAAAGCGATACGTGCGATTACTGTGTACGTTTTTCCATATAAATAATTCGCTTCATCATTATGACTTACGGATATATTCCTTCTGATTGCAGTTCCCTTAAATCATTTTGCCACTGAATCACTGATTCTCTCTTTGGAGAGAGTTGAAGTCTTTCAGACAATTCTTTTAATCGTCGCAAGTCTGGTATTTCGACTTTTTCTAAACTTAACTCTTGTAACTCGACCTTCATGATTGTATTAGATTTTTCTGGAATATTTGGTGTTATGATTGTAGCATATCAATGAATCTGTGCCAAAGAAAGAAAAGTTTGATTATTACAATAGGTACAAGTAGCACGAAAACATGGTCATTGATCACTCATTTACACGGAATCAAAATTATATTCATTCAATATTATATTATGCATTGAACGAATTTGCGAAATTATTCAAACTGAAGAAAAAAGATGTGATTTTTAAACATATAATTTCAACAAGTAATTCAGCTTCGACCAATCTCATAATATACTGATACATACTACATAAGAGAACGTACTCGTCAAATAAATATTAATATTATTCTACAAGAATGCGAAAATAAAATGGAAAAAATCAGCAATATAAAAACAATTCTAGGACGTTGTAAAAGTCACAGTTGCCTTTTAATGGCTTTTGAATTGTAGTTTAAACCATGAAATAAAAGTTTGCCCGCTTGACTAATTTAGCATGAAATGCATACTTTGTGCCAAAGTTCAATAGCCACTGTTTTACAATGGGAATTGTCGCAATTTGAATACCAAAATAATAATTCATATATATGTATACAATACAATTTCACAAATTAAAAATTCGGGTTTAACTGTCAGATGTTAAGAAATTCTGTCAGTTGACATAAACGCAAACTTGAGAGTTCAACAGCGTATGCAAGCGCATTCATCCATGGCTGATGTACCCAGAATTTGTCGGTTCAGCAAATCGGCTATAACAATTTTATCATTGTCAGGTCAGGTCATTCGGAAATGAAGGAAAAGTCATCCAGGAATCAAGAGTAACTCAGACAGAAATGTTTTTGCGTCCATATTCAACTAAGTATGGACCAATGATTAAAGGATGTCATTGAATAGAGGATCATGAATGGCCTGATCTGTGCAAGAAATTGTTTATTTTAGTCCATGCTAAATGCTATTTTTGTATCAAAATTTTTATGACTTCATCGGTATGAATATGTCGAACAAAATCAATATTTAACACCCAGTAATTTTAAGTACGTCCAGAATGTTTATTTCAGTTGTAAGATCTGAACTAGCAAGAAAAAAAAACACTATTTAAAATATGATTTTAGTCAACCAAAGAATACGGTTCTCCATAGATTCACGAGGAAATTTTAAATAGATATTTTTCAACCAATTTTGACTCATTGAAATTCCGTAAATCCATCTTTTCGGTAAACAATCAGATAAAGATAATGTCAGGTTATTCAAAATAATCGAATTGAAAGCAGCTCTAAAAGATACCCGCACTTCTGACAGATTAATGCATACTAATGCAAAATCAATTTCTTGACTATTGAGTATGAGTGCAAATTTACTTGAGGATAAAACATTCCATTAGATAAAAAGTTCGCGAATCTCTAGTAATAGTTCATCAGCTCATTACCCAATGCCCAAATATAGGGGTGTACAATAAATCATTTTCAAAAATATTAATGAGATATATGCTACTATCACTTCAATCATACGTTTAGTCATCTGAGATTCGTGCAGAATGTCAAAAATCATAATTTTATACAATACAATTCATTTTATACATCATTAAAACTTCTGCTCGAGGTGCGAGCTATTTTTTTTTTACTATTATATCAATAATTAATATATGTTAGGACCTCCTGCCTTTTAGCTATTTGAATAAAATCCCTGTTTTATTTGTCTAGTTACTTATTACAGTATGGGTAAAAAATTCTGTACAGAAATTTCTAATAAAGTGAGCAGAAATTGCTCTTGCTCGACTGTGCTTATCATAGTTATGCTGAATTTACTTCATATAAAATACACTACAGTACTACCATCTCTACTATGCGACCATCAGCATGTCTTCACTGACTTTTAATACAATACCGGCCTTATGGCTTCCTATACTATTATACAAACTGTATACACATCCTTTGAGGAAATTCCTCACGTTGCTATACGTCACCACAACAGGATGGTTCAAATATCTTTCGGTATATTTTGTATACAATAATATAGGAAGAATATAAGTTCCATAAATCCGGTTTTAACCCTTCGCAATCAAGCATGAATGATAAACAAATCTCCCCTGAAAATTTTGATTACTTTTAATAATGAAAATTTAATTGAGCGGTTATTTTAAAATATATGACTAATTCCACAAAATAATTTTGTCTGCTGATTTTTAAATGCTGTCGCTACTGCAATACACTATTTTCAGTTAATATCAATACAACCCGTCATCATTCCGTTTCAGAAAGGCTAAGAGGAAGATATCATCACACAATTTATTTAATTAAAGCAATCTTCACATTTATCTGGCACATTTAAGCAATACTAATATAATCAGCGATAACTATTAATATTTTGATTATTTATTCCCTTCATTCACGCCTACATTAGAATATTCGTTTCCAACGGACATTTGGTTGTCTGTTTACCCAATCGAATATGGGATTTAATGCCTTATGTCGAAACAATGACTAATTAACGCCACTTGGGCTTTCAAAATCTCATTTCCCAGCAAACATATTATTAAAAATTCACGAATTAGCATGCGATAGGTGCTTCTTTGTCATTATCCGATTATTACAGTATGTTAATAAGGCCTGGGTATTCTGGAGAGGCGAAGGAGAAACGTTGTTTAATAACGTGATGTAACAATAATAATACGATGCAGGTGATTGCAATGGATTCTCCTTACAATTATATGTATGCACGTTTGATTAACTACGACTCTTTCAGAGTATGAGGGGCTTTTTCCAATTCTTCAAATCGAATAAATTATTTGAAGCTAAAAATATCCAACTCGCAGAACACGATATCAAAATAAAGACAATTGAAGATTTTGCAAGCAGTTGTTACATCTATGTGTTTGATTGTATACTCGAAACATGTACAGATTATACTGAATGTCGCAATACAGTAGACGTATGCTTTTGGCTTTGATGCACAGCAAAACAGCGCTTACAAAGAATTTCAGGGCACAACGGTCAACATAGGCGACCTGAACGAGTCAATTTTGTGAAAATATGCGAATGGAGATTGAAATCAAATTTCGTGTACAATATATTCTAGTTTCGGTGACTTTGTGCGTCTGACAACTATTTGAAACTTCAGAATAGCTGAACGAACAACATGCATCTTCAAACAATATCTATAACGATATAGCTATGTCATATCACGTTTTGGCTTACTCGGCTATGACAGAGTTATTTCCGTCTAAAAATATCCAAATTGTGTCAGTCATATAGCGAGCTGTATATGAGAATGTATCAATGTAACGGATGCATACGCGGCCGCTATAAAAATAAATGCGTGAATGTGCATACCCTGGATTTACATACTGAATGTAAATGTCAAAATGGCACATTCTAAGCTTCTTTTATGAGTAATGAATAGAAAGAGATTCTTTGTTTTCTTGCTCGGTAAAACAAAATGTCTGACTGGACATGAAAATCACGGGTTCAAACCAATTTATTATGCATTAACGCCGTATGTTACGAAATTAAGACAATTACACACCGCGGCGAATCAAACGCTTGATGTAGGTATATATAGATGAATTTACTTCTTACGTATGTTTATATTACAACGTACTTAACATATTTCGTCCAGAACATTTTGTGACAAAAATCGTATTTGACACTGTCTTTGCTAACATAGATTCAGAAGACAACTTTTGAGTTTTTACTTGACACCTAAATCTCTAAGCTAATTTTCTCGTGCTCTGCTAAAATGTTTACCATAGTTTCTGTTTATTGCTGTAAGGTCGTCCGTGTTCGTTATTTCTTATTTGCGGTAACCGCAAATCGGTATTCATTACTCAGTACACCGAATCAGTTTATATCGCAGAAACATATCAGATCGCGTTCACTCTCGTGCTTTTATTTGCGAACCAGGCTTGGCCTGGTTTAAATGTACTGTTCGCGATTATTCATTTTGCTCATAACCGGAAAATGGCATCATATTTTAGTTGCATTGAATTCAGCTCAACATGCTTTGAGATCTGTCATCGATACAGCGACGTTGTGACCCAATTCGCATCCGATTTGCACTGAATGGCCATTCCATTCGCGTGTGATAAATTGATTATGACAGGAAAATCGCCCTCATTCGTGAGATCGACATGAACCCATGACAAATTATCTCTCCATTTTAGTATTGATTATTCGAGAATCGTCAGAATATACAACTAGAAAAAGATTTTACAGTACTGATTATACTCATTCTAATTGCAATTAAATCGTGATATATTTTTCCATCGAGGTCAGACCTCAATCAACATAGTCAGTCGTGTGAATAATAAATACCCTTTCTATATAAAACATCTGAATACTCGTGTGTGTTAGGATGGTCAATTTACTAAATATTGCCAATCGCATATGTTTTTGTTCATTATCTGTTATACATCGCACACAGTGTGCCGTGAGAACTAAGCTTGGCAACTGAAATTTACAACGGAATCTACCTCGTAACGACTACCCTGAATCCCCAAGTTGCACTTGATATAAAAGTAGAAAATTTTTATTTATTTTGCATCATTGCTCTAATTGAGCTATTAAAAAAAATTGAATAAATATACCTTTGTAATACAACGCATTTGTTTGCGGGATGATTCAATTCCATTTACAGGGAAAGCTATTTTTTTTCAAGATTTCAATTCATCAATTGAAAATTCAATAATTAAGCGATTTGAATCAGTGATAAATTTGTTTAGGCCCGTATCCAAAACAAAGCGATCACGTGATTTTCAACAAATATTGACGTTATTTAACCAGTTACTATACAATCAATGCCACGCCACCTGCTGCTGACTATATCCTTTACAAGTTGTAGGTAATTGGGTGCTAAAGAAAACGCTGTTCTCGTGAATTTCAATTGGGCTACTTTTGACTGGAAATTTTTAACTATAGATAATCATCGAAATGCGAAGTGGTTTTTAAATACGTTAGTTCCCAGACAAAGTAGGTTGAACAAAAACATATAAACATCGTCTGGAAAAAAACTCATTCTAAATTGTGCACTGGTGAATAGTCTCCGAGAACTTAAAATATTTGAACTTGATTTGAATATGCGGGGGAGTGCGCTTAAAATAAATTATCCAATTTGTTCACTACGCAACTGACGATCTAAAAATTTTCTGGATAATTTCGATAATTTGTACATCGCGGGCTTCGGCAACATTGTACTACGAAAACATATTTGACAAAATTAAATTTTGGTAACCGGTTCTCCAGCAAATGGTGAAAATCAAATCCATAAAAAGTATCAAAAAATGAAATATAATGAATAGCAAGTATTCTATTAATAAAATTGTTAATGGCTTTTTGTATCATGTATTTTTATTAAATACGAACGATATTTCTAAATGATTAATTAGGATTTATTACAAGACAGTTGCCTATTCATTCCAATGAACTTTTATAAACTCCTCGTTATTCGTATCAGTGCGCGATGTAACATAACTTAACAAATTAGAAAGTTGCAAATAATTTTTCTGACGTGTTTTGGTTACACCACGCCTACTTTTGTTTTCTTTTTTTGAATCACGTATGACCAAGCAATACAAATGTGTATATATTGTAAAATGTATCGCTTTTCATCTATGGTATACAAAAAAAACTCTCTTATGCATGTTTGACTGTATCTGGAAAACTGTATACGGACAGATTAAAATTGCCGGGAGCGCTTATAAATTGTCTCTCACTGCAATGTGCTTTACGTCTAAGGATTACGCAAACACATTTTATGCGCCCTCGCAAACTTCGCACAGTTACTTTATCGGAGCTAAGACATTTCTTTTGTTTAAACCCTTTTTCGGTGGTAATAGTTACCACCAACACCACACGAAAAATTCTAAAAGGTTAACATAATATCATTCAATAACATATCGAACGAAAGTTGTCTGTACGTGATGCCGATCTGTTTTCTCGGCGAGATTTTCGTTTCAAATTATACTTTCTACTCTCACTGTCAATTACAAAATTCTTTCCTATATTCTTTGATCTAGCTCAATGTATGCACCAACCTTTAAGACAAATTTATTTCTAATAATTCTGATATTTCTCAATCTAACTAATACTATCCATCTGCACTATTTACCAACTTTACACGCGAAATGTTTTGCGCGATAATTTAGTCCCTGAAGAATTGAACAGGTTTCAATTGAAACCAGATATGGAGCATCTGTTAACTAATAACCGACACAAATTAATTATCAAAAATTTGTTATTTATTATATCATTTAAGGAATGGTCAAGAAGGGTATATAAAAAGTAGAAAAATATTCATAACTTACCGAATAATAAAGAATGTAACATTACTCAACTATGATATTAGACATTAGTACTCCTATGACATTAGTATTTTGCATGGTACCCGACTCGAAACTAGCGATAAAACTCTGCTATGTCAAGTATTACAGTTGACATGGACGCTAAATGTTTTGTATTTAATCAGTAACATGGTGATGCAATATTCAGCACCTGGTATTTATATAGAATCCAGATAAGTATCAGACGTATCGCTGCTATGTGTTATTATTTATACCATATTAGTGATCTTTGACATATCCTGCGATATGTGTTACAATAGCAATAGCGCAAAATTAAGTTTGTAATTAGAAAAAGTAGCAATATAAATTTAGACAACGGAATCTCGTGAAGATGAAGATTTGAGAATATTTTGTTTCGTTGATGTCCTTGTAATTCCCGACTAAATTTCATGTCAAATTCAATGCATAATAAAATTGAAGATTCAAATTGTAGTGTATGTGTATTTACTAGGTGTTGTTTCTTTAAACTCGAGTTCTGTATGACCAATTGATTTCCATTGCAATCTGATCAGATAAATCTCATTGTCGTATTTCGGGGTCAATTTGTTTACCATATAACAGCGACGAACTTATTTCATCTTATCTTTAAAAGTATTTGCGGTGTATGTATTGCGTCTATAATTTTATTTGTTTGAACTTCAAAAATACCTGACAAATACTTTTCTTTGAGATTACATGCGTTTTTGTATCTTGTTTATCACGCAAGTTTAGTACATTCAGAAATCATTCATGAATCTAAGTTTTTTTTAAATTGATCACATAAAAAATATTCTTATAAATAATATTGAATTCATCGAACTATATTTAAAATATAATCTAGCCCTGTCAAATATGAATTTATCAGTAATTTTAGGTAATTACTAAAAGCGAAACTATTCTCAGTTGTAAAATGCTCTGTTGTCGTTTAATATTACCATACGTTGAAATGAAGGAATTCGATAGGTAACTATTACTTATGATCTTTTGCATAAGTCACTGCTGTTGACGTGAACTTTTTAGCAAACTGATTAACCCGGTAACGGAAAATTGTAATCGTTTTATTGAAACACGAGAACCGAACCTGTACTTTGTATATTGGAAATAAGACAAAGTTGTTCTGCCTATTTATCGTGTTAAATTTTGAATTTACTCGTTGGCTATTGAATAGTTTTCAGCTCAAATTTGTAAAATGTTTCCCAAACGACGCAACAAAAATCTAATATCATAACAATATATCAATATTAAATTGATTTTGATTGTGATTGTTCATAAATCGGCAACCTCTCAAAATAAACCCTAAAATTAGTGAACCTCGACAGTAACTATAGGAACAAAACTGGGTATCATATTTCAGTATCAAACGTTTATTGCCTCTTGTTAGAACTTAATTAAAATCAAATTTTATTTTCCCGATACCGTTTATCTCTAATAAAAATACCTATAATTTCAAAAGATTTTATATTAGATTTTTTTAAAACTAAAACAAAACCAACAAATTTTATTGCAAAAACTATTAAATTATTAAAATAATTTCATTCAAATTTGGGCAGTTGTTTTGGAATTGTTTCAAATAGATAATTTCCTCTCGGACGTGAAACCAGTAATAGTTGGAAAATGAAAAATAATCCCTCAATGTCTTTTGATTTTATTCATTGCTTAGTTGAACAAACAAAATAAATTCACAAAATGATAGGTTTGATTTGTTCAAATATTATATTTCTAGACAATAATAATTTGGCGCCATGATTAGAACAACGTAATAAGATTAACGACAAAGACACTAATTCAATTCTGTTACTATGAACCCCTGCGAGTTTAATATTTAAAATATAATTATGCGGAATTGAATTCATCGGCCCATAATAGCGCTATACCAGTTAATGAATTTTATGACAAAAACAAAGATGCTAAATATACCATATAATTTGAATAATAGCTGAGTGTGTTATGTGAGAATAACTATAGAGTGAAAAAGACACGTCATATCCGACGCTTCGTAGTCATGTCGCTGGGTTCGCAACAGTCATACATACTTGGGGGCTCCCGTATCCGCTATGTGTTGCAAGACAAAGACTTCTACCCCGAGCTTGTGTGCCTACCTGGTTTATATCCTACTCAACATCAACAACTCTCGGCTTTTTTTGATCTCCGCTTAAATTCGTGTTCAATAGTAACCCAAAACGAACTGGTTGAATAACTGGTCAATATATACAATACACCAAGCAGAAATTGCCACAAAATATCTTTTTAATAGTGTTTTATTGCCATGCGTACCCACGCACCTTTGCTGGGACAAGATGCGCACTCTTATTCTTTCCTTATTTCACTGCACCTCTGATAAGTATCATCAAATACACACAAACTTCAATAAGCATGAAACCATATTAATGTGAATATTTCACTTTTATTTCACGACGAATGCAGAAAATCAAAACAAAAAGTACATAATTGTACATAGTGGAACATATTGTGCGACAAAATTGCGTATTGCAGCATTAAAATAAAGATAAAGTTGATTCACTTTTTACATACTTTTGATCTTTTTCAAAACTCAAAACAACAGCCTTCGACTTTAATGACTTTTATATCGATGAATCGGCAATATTTTTGAAACAAAGCAACGCCAGTTTTTAGTTGACTCTTTACTTGACATGAAATATTATGGAAGAGAAAAATAAACAATAAATTAAGCTGTACACATTATACTCAAAATAAATTTTATGTATTCCCGTTCTTCAATCTGCCTAATTTGGACCTCAGACGACTAGGGGCATTATCATATAACGCCAAGTAGACAAATTTGTCAGAGTATGGTAACAATTACTCGGGAGTAATTCTTTTTCCGAAAAAACTAAAGATTCATTATTTTTATGTTTGCGTTTTGTTAACTAAGCGATATTCTCGTACGAACACTGTGTAGCAAGTGGCATAAAACAGCATTGAGTTGCCTACGGCAAAACAATATAATATCTTCACAACAATATAAAATTTTAAAAATAAAAATTCGCAAAGTTCGTTGTGTTGATCCTTTGGGTTTATCCGGACGTGAAAAGCTTGATTGATTTGGCGCACACTCCAAGTTTGACGCAAATATCACACACTCTTACTTGCAAGCTGAAGTCCGCTTGTTTGTGATCTTCTATGAGAAATAAACAAATGAAAAAATGTGCTTTAGAAGAAAGAAGCAAGAAGCAAATATGCCAATTAGAGGAATAAAACAAAATAGAAAAGATATATCAAAATACTACAGTAGATTCATCATGTAGGTCAGTTTTATTTTTGTGTTTACGAAAAAATAAACTGAATACTGCGCAAAATAATGCGTCTAAATAATTATAGAAGGCAAAAATGCTTGTTGGATTACTATTTTCTTCTAAAACTGTGACCGCATCCTGCCGTCAATACGAGATACAAAAATATTATCTGTTCCAGTTATTTACTTCAAAAATTATCTGAATTTTTATATTTTGACTTGGCACGTCGAGTTTAACACAGTATAAAGTTGTGAGTTACGGATGGAACTTTATTGTAAAAATTAATCAATTCTTCAATTTATTTCCTAATATTCAAGTCATTATTTATTGTAAATGATTTGATGTATGTCTCACCTAATCCTCGACAGCTTTTGTCACTATTTACGACCGTGCACATCTTTTTGTGGCAAAGAGCTTTGATATCTTCCACAGTTACTTTCTTTTTCATTTTCTTTGTTTTGTTGTCTATGCTTTCTTCTAATTCTTTAATGTCCAAGTTTTCCGTTTTATCAACTAGATCGCCTGGCTCCACAGCTGGATTTTCTGCTGATTTTGCTGCTGGTTTCTCGAGTGCAGCAGCGTCTCCCCAACCAAAGCTTCTTCTTTTTCGAATATTAACCTTAATAAAAAGGGATAGAATAATTCCTCTTGGAGTAATGTTACATCGTTGTTATCAAATGTCATCTTTAAATTTATACTACTCCTAATTTTATAGAAAAAACTTACAATCGTTTTTGTTTTACCTTAAAATTTATTCAGCTTATTCAACTTATCTCTAATCGTGGGCATTATCAGTAGTTTTATATTTTCACAACAACCAGCATTGACACGAATCATGAAAAACCATAGCAGTCACTGACTACGTGATTTACTGATTACATGTAATATTTGAGGTTTTTACCTCTATTATTACCTCTTTCCCAATCAGTGTCTCCCGCTCCTTCAAAGCTTCTAAAATAGCATCAGCCTGTGATAAAAAATAGAACTGAAATTATCGTAGAATTTTAAGCTATTTTGGTTCAAAATTGGCTACGCAAAAATGAAAATTAAGTTCATATAGATCATGCTTGATTGTGTATCACCATAAAAGACAAGATGAAGACAATGGAGAGGACAAGACATAAAGAAAATTATTAAAAGGAAAGTATCAGGAAATCTGTTTCCATGGTAATATGAATACAAAACAAGTTCTCAAACTCAAAAATGCCTTGTTGAATCCCATGCTTGGTAGAGTAAAACATTAACTTCAAGTAATTGTTGAATGTTGATTCGCTTATAAGAAGAAGTGGCAAGGTAGAAAGATAACTGTAGTTAAGAAAAATTAAACTAATTCTAATTATCTATTTACTGGCAAAAAAAATCACATTGTTTTTATTATACGTGAAGACGATTTTCTCTATAGATGGTTTGCCTATGATTTCAGAGTTCTCGAAAGTCGCTATTATTAAGAATTCGTTGTATAGACTATAAAGTTTGAAAGTTATTAGATGTAAGTTATATGATTGGGGTTATTTTTGGTAATCATTCGTTAAGTTGTTAACTGTTTAATCATTAATGTTTATTCTGACGAATCAATATAATGACAGTTATGCGTTCAGAGAAATTCTAAATTGTTTGGTGGCAAAGCGGTAGGATACAACGATAACTATTTCGCATCGCGGTTTCTTCGTGCGCATAAGATTATCCCTCCGGCAATGTGGCCAAACTTTGTATATTTTGTTTCATTTTATTATGGAATTTAACATCAAAATATTTAGACGGTGTCAGCTAATCTCGTCCAATTGAGTTTCGTTCTGCTTCCAATCGTATTTGGATGATATTTTTAGGGAAGAGAATAAATATCACAAAAGAAATATATTCCTACTATCCGTTACAAAGAGTTACTTTTATTTATCTATAATTGAATCAGTGTTGGTCAAACGGTATAACACGTGAAAGAATCAAGTGCTAAATGTAAAAAGTACATGCATGAAAATCTCGTGAGAGATTACATTTCAACGACGTTCACAAACTATATTAAAATTGATGTTTTGCATGCACGTTCAGAAAATACGAGCTGTTTGTTATATTTTTGTTGAAGAATCATGACACCACATCTAATTTTCGATTATTCATGGTTAGTTATCACACGCGGGGCAAGGGTTTCATTCCTAGAGCCCGTTGATACAAATTATTTTCTTGATGTTCTAACATACATTATTATGTATCGCCATCCTTCGCCTTCTCCGCCGCCTTTTTCTAACAGCTGCTTCTTGTTTAGTGACTTCCGAATCAAGCAGTTCGGCCTTTATAATAATGTGGTGAAAAACTTATCGAGAAATGTTTTGAACAAAAGCAAAAAATACAGAAAAATGGATGAATTTTCAGACCGATAATGTTTTTAATAGCTACAAGCGAGCAGCAAATCTTTGTGAGTAATATGTCTGTAACAACTGGGAATCGTAAATATAGACGTCACGTATATACGTAAGAACTATTACATTAACTAAATATAGGAATGGTAAAAATTAAAATCGATGAATAAAAAACAGAAAATACGATGAAATTGAAATTATAGGTCTATGTAGAAACTCAGTGGAACACTTTAATATTGTGCAGTTATCGGAATCAGTAAACTATATCTTTGTCAAGTATATTTTATGGAACTTTCCATCTTGGAATAATGTCCAGAATATAGGTATATAGACCAAATACAGCTTTGTTTAAACCCATCAGGGACGATGACCAACTTTTAACAGATTTATTGGACTAATATACACAAAATATATATACAATTTACAATATACGTAATTAAGCAATAACGACTGCTTTGGTCATTTGTATGAATGCAAGCCTGTGCTCAGATTTGAAACGTCTTTTACATGTTGCTTATTCATGCCTCTTGTATTTTATGTGAATAATCAAAAATGTCCGCCCAATTTCATTGACCTGCATAATTATTTCGCACTCCCAGTCAAAATTAGATGAGAAATTTATTTTCTGTACAGTATATGCTACTGCACACACTGAATCATGTTTTGACTGCGATATGCCGTAGTAAAGCCACAAGTGACGCATGAATATCTTGTTATTATTGTATTGTTTTTTTCAAATAATATCTTGTTAATCACCTAAATCAAAATCACTTACAAAGGGAACCATGTCATCACAGGTCGGATATTTGTAGTCCCAAGTTCCATCACTTTTGCAAAAAGCCTCACAATGTCTTATCTTGTCGTCGAAATCCAAAGGACATTTGTACAAATGCTCACAATACTCCGCCGGATGAAGGAAGTCCCCTTCAGTTGGACACATCAAGTGATTTTCAAGCAACAGAGACGACTCAAACGTACTCTTTTGAAACGGGTTTATTTGGCAAAGTACTGCAACAAATAAGAGAAGTCATTAAATATAAGTCAAAGGCAAATCTACACAAAATAATACAAATTAGTGCAGTCAAATAGCGATGGATTTTATAATATACTAAATTGCACTGTATGTCAACGTTTTATTGGACGTAATATATTTTTAAAAGTTGATATAGCGTTAGTTGAATAAAGCCACATAAATTAAGCTCTTATTTCTGATCCTTTCAAAATTGGTCGATATATTTCCTGTATAAATTCCATAAGCGGTGTCGATATTTTTCGCTTGATTAAAATCTGTCAAATACAATATTTCATGCTTATGTTGGAATAAAACATTCATTGCATTAATTTGCATTTTATTCGAGCCATGAGATTTAAAAATAAAAAAACAGAAATTTCTCGACGTTCATATTCATCATGACACATTTCTGCGCTATTTAATAATTTGTATAATTGTATTATTCAACAAGTAAGCTAAATGCATGTTTTGTTTTAAATTATTAATGTGATGGGTGAGTTAGTCAGTCAAGTTGAATAGTCTTTCCCACTACAGAACTACTCTGGAAATCGCTTTAATTAAACATTTGGAACAAGCAAAGAAACTGGAAAATTTCAAAAATATTCAAACTGATTCACAGAATTAAGCAGTGAAATTGGTAATTTTCAGTTGCTTTTGTTAAAATTACATGTTCAATCCGAGAATATTCTATAAAATAACTAGACAACTCTCCCAAAAGTAGCCATTTTTATACATCATTTACAAAAAATTGTGAAGAATATTGGGAAGGGTTAAATCAGTTGACCGCATGGTCTTATCGCTCCCTCCAGTCTATACAAAAAAGTTTTGTTCATTTTGTTAATTTTTTTTATTGTTGCAATGCTTGTTTTATGACTGACGGAACAAAAATCTCCTCGCGTAAGGGTATATTGATAAAATAAAGTTTACCTAATACGTGTGAGCTTCTGTATAAAAATATACCTATATATGCATTTCAGTCACGACGTTGCAATAAAATCTGTCTAGCTTTGTTATTGATGGATAGTTGTTTTCAATAAAAAAAAGTTACGCATGTACTAATATCGCTTTATTCAAATTATGTATATTATATTCAAAATTGTTGGACAGCACGTAAAGAATGTAATGTGTCAGATATTTCAGCACGATTTATTCACCAAAACTTTTTTATCGGAGCATCACGCTTGTTGAACTAATCAGTCAACAGGAATTAGATAAGCGAAGTCATGGAAAAAATTTCAGCTTGAAAAGGAGCTATATACCGCGATAAAGACCTAACATTCTGTCAGACCCCTGATCTGTTAAATTATTGTCAATTTGTTCTTTTTTTAATCTCAAATAATATTACAATTGAGATTTATATTATTCACTAGATTTTTAAATCGAATCCGATTAACGATGACAAAGTTTCGAATTACATTCACAGTATTGTATTGTGAAACAGAAAATTGTTGTACATACTCGTTTTGTTGGAATTTCCAGAACATTATTGCTCTGTAAATAAAATCATATAGCATATTATTCAATTTCGGTTTTAAATGCACTGAAACGATTATTACGGCGTCATTTTTCTAATTATCTGTGATATAGATCATTGTCTGAATCAGCACAATAGGTTTCATCTGGGCCCAGTTGAAAAATTATCGCTGTAGAGTGATTCATAGTAAACAAATCATTGAACTAATCGCGGCTTTCTTCATAAATGAAGACGAACGCTTTGGAATTCCGCCACGACATAATTGATTGTAATTATTTGCGGTTTGTGGGCGGTAATTGTAGTGATGTAACTTAAATTCTTTAATTTACAGAGGCGTAGAATGACGTCGCATATTTCCGGAGGGTCGAAAAGTCGCGTGTACTTGAACACTTTAAATCGGAATGCGATTAAAATATTTCACTACCGACTGCCCATATCTTAATACACAACACAGATTTCAGTTTTCTTTTATTCGATGAAATACAAAAACAGGCATTTTATAAGATTTATTAAATTTCTAAGATTCTTATCAGGCATAGTCTGTAAAACGCTCTGTTGACAAGATGAAATCACCAATACGAGAGTGGTTTAATTTAAAAATTAGAAAGAAGAAGAACGACCCCGCAAACGATGTTACTAACTGAATGTGTTATGTGTTGATATTTAAGATTGAATTTTTATAATATGTACAACTTTATTAGTTTTAGTTCGCAAAATTATTTTCTGTTTCAAAATGTCCCTAACACACCTTCTACACACCTCCATATTATACAAATAATTAATACATGTTGATTGATGTTTCCTCGTCTGGAGTTACCACGTTTTATTCACACAAATGTGAAATGAAATTATATAAAAATACACCTTAGATAACACGAAGAGATTCATCACAACTTGTAATCTATATTTTGAATTCGACTTCCTATTTCAAGTGTCTAAAATTTAAAAATAGTTCACCAACTTAGGTGTGAACCGTTTTATGTCGCATATGAATCTATCTGTTCGGGCTAATTCAAATCAATAAATATTTTCTGCGCTTTAGGTCTGTAACGGAAGTGTTGAATATCGTGTAAAAGTCATGACATTGCTACATCCTTCTAATTATGAATGCCAATGACATTGATTAGGCTATATGATGAAATATGAAATAAAATCATTGCGCAATGATAACATAAATTTCGAAAACCATAGGATCAAATTTGAGCAATTATAAAAGTGATTAAGTTAATAATAGATACAATTTTAAGAAACGCGACGATGCACCGATATTTAATTGAACTCCTGTAAATGAAAGGATATAACATTGCTCTTTTATGAATTATAATTTGTATTGATAATTTTTGAACCTAGTTCTATAAATATCTCAATATTACTTCAAGTATTCATTGAGATTGTTCTCGATATACGTAGTCAGCAATAGATTTTATTATCAACAAGACCTCAACAGCAAAATGGGTCAGTTTTTTAATATGTGTGAAATGTCGGGGTTTGCAACGTAAAATACTCATTAAACATTCATCATCGCCATACAATCACAACCTTTCCAGCTACGGCGTAAATGAAAAACTTAGTCAAAACGCCTCTGGCTACAGACTTGAAACTTCGAAACCTGTTCTAGCAAAATAGTGAAGGTCTACCTCAGTTTTGATGGATTTTGAAATTTAATACGATAGTAATATTGAATTTGAAATACAATACGGAGATATGGTTTTCATTAATATATAAATACCTCAAGTACGTCTTGTGTCAACTGAAGGTCATAAAACTAATGCTTTGAATGGAAAGAATCGAAATTCTAATATTTTCAAGTTATTTTTGGCAAGAAAAAATTTATACTATATACATTGCTATTAAAGTAAAATCATTTGAAGGCGTTAACATTATACAATATTTATTTGAAGTTTAATTTTTATTTGCAATAATAACAACGAAAATAATCGTTCTAGTGCCACTGGCATTATCCATGGATAGCGCGGGCTATTCGTGGCCTTTGCTGAGGTGTATCCCAATAAATTTTATTTCATTGTTTTATGTGGGGTGGCTCAGAGCTAGGTCACTAACCCGCATCTAGAAGTACAACGTCTACAAATAAATTAGGTGCTGATGATCCATGACCGTCATAAAAATTATTAAATAATTTATGATAATTTTAATTTTTCAATTTTTTTATATTTGCATTTGATTTTATTTACTTCGTGTTTTTATTATTAATATCATTCTTTTATTGCAGTAATGAAATTACATTGTAAAACCATAAATACGAAATCATAAATCTGCCACAATATTAACGCCAAAGCAAATACTATAAATTAATTACAAATGAGTAGATATCATCATAAAATGCTACATGGCCACTGGATAAATGTTGACAAATATTGCCGCAACTTTTACGCGGGAATTAAAACATTTAGATTCGGTGCAACTTCATTTGAATTTTCTATACATATTTTGAAAATATTCCCAATGATATTTCAAATGTTCTAGAAACAGATTTCTTCTACTAGTTTCTTTTTTCACTTAGTACCCTAAAACTAATCAGATGTACTGCCTATTTTATTTTATTTTTTAATCTAAACCATCATTTTATTTTGGCCCAAATTGCTTCATGTAGATTTAGGCACATATTCATTATTTTCTTTACTTTAGCACTACTGTTATGTACAATGTAGAATGTTCAACTTTTACAACAAGCAACTCCATTCCAATGTTGAAACATATTTATTAGAATACAATATTGTATTAATATAATTGATAGGTAAATAATATGAATAAATTATTCTAAAACATAATACAAGTTTGAAAAATTTAAACTTTAAACCTTATTTGTCAGATAAAAGTTTTTGCAGTAAAAACTAAATAACTTTTCTTACCCCCTTCAACGGGTGCTCCATATGTAATAGACAATGTTGATAATATTCCGATTATAATAAATGAAATTTTCATGATGTTGACTGCTGATGAGTTCCGTATCGATTTGACAAAAAATTATAACATCCAACTACGGTAAATGTGCCTTGCCTCACTTTTGCGTTTATCTTTCTCGCATCAGTCTAACCAAATATTTGAACGATTGGTGTGGTCGGGGATATTTTATATGAGAATCGAATACGAAGTAAAGAAAAAAGACGTTCTTGTTACAGAACGACATCAGAAAAAATAGATCGCGTCGGCGGCTTCGAAAAAATGTCGCATTGACGCACGCTAACTTAGTCTTCACAGAACGTCCGAACACGTTTCAGCAAATGTGCCCGGTTGAACTAACTCAATACTGCATAAGTCCCGATTTATCACCTTTTCACGCTTGGTGAAATTTACCTACTTGACCTTTCAACCCGGAAATGCAATATGAGAATATCACGATTATCCTTTCAACGCGAAACTTGTTTCATCGCATGTAAATATATTGATTATTTCACAATTGACGAATCGAAAAACTTCATTTAACTTCATTTATTCATGTTGGCTATTGGAGGTACTTGTGACTATCTAACGCGTATAATATTTTGGATTTGCGACAAACGATTTGATTTCAACGGATTTTCGCCATGTATTTTTGTACTAATACTAGAATTTTGCATAATGCCTTTTAGGAATAAATTACCTAACCGCTTGAAATTCCCATTTCTTTCTCCATAGTCAAAATAAAACTTCATATGACATTGCGATGACAAATTATTAAGATTTCCATTTGCTGATTACCTCATGGGCTTACCTCGAATTTTTTTTTAATTAATGACTAAACGTTTGACCAACGCCGATCCATGACATATCAGATATAAAAATATATCTGAACGACACAATACGGTATTTTAAATCTATTAATTTGAATATAAAATATTTAATTAATTCATTTCGTGAATATAGTACAAAAACCCTATTTCGTTGCCACTTGACATCATATATTTTGAATAAAAATTTTCAACTTCACAGTTCAAACGTTTTTGTTTAGAATATGAAATTTATGCAAACTTTGTCTACGACTTGGATCTAGAGCAGGGGTCGGGAACCCATGGCTCGCGAGCCATATATGGCTCTTTGGTGACGGCATATGGCTCCCAGAAAAATCTATTATTCTAAGATTAAGCTTACTATTGTTAGTAGACTTCAAACTATTTTATGGCCAAATTTGGCAAAAAATTCCCAATACGTTTGACAACGCGGGTCCAGCGCATGTCTATGTTATGTAAGAGAATTACCAGACAGGCATTGTGACAAAACATGGGGATTCTGGAACATATATTGTGACATCACAAAGCGATAGAGTTTTAAAATACTACGGAGATGCCTAAACGAAAAAGGGTGATGAGTATCGTAGATTTCAACTTGGGCTGCATGTGAGCAACCGTTCCAGGCCCGCAGCGACAACATGCAGCATCAGAAGTCACATTAAATGTATATTGACATGGAATGTGTTGACTTTTGAGTAAACGTTTCAGGCCTGATTAAGTGAAGAAATGCTATTTGGCTCGCACAGTAATGCAATTGAAAATATGTATATTTTAGGGCTCTCTTGACCAAAAAGGTTCCAGACCCCTGATCTAGAGGTACAACTAAATGTGTGTGCCGAGTGGTTACTAGACAGTCAAACCACGTAAATCGACTAGCATACAAACGGTATTGATGACATTATTAAAAAATGAATCCAATTCCAATTTTTATTTTAAATTATGTTACTTTTGTGTGATCATACCATGAAGTTACGGTTAATGCGTTATATTAACGAGAAATTGTACAACACATTACTTTTGTTCGCTATATTGTTTTATATATTGTTTTCGCTACCATGCCCATAGTATATGTAGACCCTGAATTATTCAAATATATACAAATATCATAATCTCGTTTATTTCAAAATATATACAAACAAAAATCAATCTTAAGTGATTTGTATGTCTGTAGCGATTAAGCGTCTGAAGATTTTTCAGAATTATCACTTTTAAGATTATCAATTTCTGAAAAAAAGTTTTGCCGCTGACTAATCACAAAAGACATATGAAGTTTAGTTCATCATTAGCAATAGATGATCTAAAAAAATAAACCTAATCTGTCATTCAAGCTCTCTTACAAGAATCTTCTTCAAAACTGACCAGTTGGATCATGTGTATACAAGTATTACAGATGTCATTTTATGTAACAATTAAAATATTCCCTCCCAAATGTTAACCAAGAACTCAAGCAAGACCTGTTGATATATTTATCGAACATTTTCTCCCTGTCGCCTCCACGTGGTTGTTCTCGATGACTAAGTCCTCGTTTTACCGTCTTTTTTAAAACAACTGGAGAAAGTAGTTGTGAAGTCTGTAGTCATTGTCTGGGTCATCGTCATTCATTTACATTTGAATAATTTTCAGCGAACAAATTAGTCATATAAATATGGTAACCATGATTATCAATTTTCAAACATTAATCGAAACCAAAATATTATCAAACATTCTGATATTAAAACATACTTTTTATTTCGGATTGTCACGTCAACTTTCTTGGGCGTGGTACATTGAATATGGTTAAGTTAATTTAAGAATTAACACAACAAGTCCATATAAGTACCATATACTACGGACTACAAAAAATGGAAAATCTCAACGTTTTACTCACGCCCCTTTGACAGCTAGCTTTAAGTTTGCATCGTCACTCAGGGATTTCGAAAGATGACGTAGTAAATATTTTCAGATTTCTATCATGACCATATCGATAATTAGTTTTGCATTACAGTATTATTGTTTAAATATCACTGTGATACACATCATAATAAAGACTAATTACTTGTCAAATTAATCCGAGAAGAGTTCTTATACTTCCGGTTATATCAAGTCTTCTATCAGAAATATATTTTTGGTTTGTAATTGCTGCGTGTTAGCTGTATATTACGTAATAATACATTTATCTGTCATGCTGACTGTTCTACATGACGAAATATATCAGATTGTGAACGATTTTTGTGTGGCTATTGTAACATGCTGTATATTCTGTCATATGGTAATCCTGTATTTTTACCAAATGCCATAATAGATATAATTCGCAAGATGACAGTTGTGCTGAATATTTCGCCATAGCGAAAATGCGTATTTTTAAAAAATCCAAAAAATGATATAAGTCACAAACTTACAGTTAACTTGTATTTCACGCTTTGCGTGTACAGTCTGCGCCACACAAAATGTTTCATTATATCATGTCGACATTACGTTAAATGTGATAAACGCTTAATAAACTAGTCTGGAGTTCTTTACTTGAGCGGCAATTAAGTTTGTTTTCCGTAAAACAGTTTATTGACATACCACATGCAAAAAATGCAGATGACAAACAGATGAGACTTCCAACTATTTCTTTTGGCGAGACGCCAACGGCAATCGTGTCGCGACCCCGATTACGCGTATATTCGTTAAATGTAGATAATGAAGCAATGCTCGGATGTATTATTTCCACAACATTGGAACAATTAGATTTGGATTAACCATTTGAATATTTTTGGTTTAATGCTAAACTAGACTCTGAAAAATATGGAGGCTTTATTTACATAGGAACTCGCATAAAAACTTAACTTATGATTATTGGTTACTGTAAAGTTTATGACCTTGTGAAATTAGTTTTCTGGTCGTGATACGGAAAAACTGTTTTGATGGTTTCACTTTCCATTTTTTACTATTACTAATGACAGACCTCGTTTTGTCTGTCCGTCCGTGACAATATGTCGTTTGGTTCGTAAGCAATGTATTGTGCTGAAACAATTAGAAAAGTCCAACTGGCATTTTACCATATTTTTTTTATTTTATTCACATAGTTCGTTTGTAGCCTTAACATAATCGGAATACTATTAAATTAAAGTGAATTAATTTTATATTTATCATAGCTAGCAAAAGTCATTGAGCAATTTCATGAAAATGCAGACAAAAAGTTTTTGCTGTATGTATTTCCGTGTCTTTGAGCGCCATAATGATTACTAGCAAGCGGAACTCGAAACCTTTCGAATAAACGCACGACTATCGCAACTCTTCAGATATCTCAGACTTCCGTTGCAACCAGTCACAAACAAGTTGAAATAGTTGTGCATATAGAAACTTATTTGCACCGAGCTGTATAAATGAAAAAAAAACTTGATTTGACTCGAGGCTTTGGCATTCAAATTACCCGATGGTTAGTTTCGGAGTTTTTTTTAGTTAAAATGGTGACAAGTGTAACCTAGTAACTTAGGGAAGGCGATAAACAAATCCAGGATCAATTACATTAAATAGCTACATTGGAGATCAGTTCAACTGTTCCGTTTGCGTAACATTGCAATAATTAGTTACCCTTATTAAAGTACTAATAGCAATAATTAAATCCCTCATATGCTCGAATAATCACATTCCGTCGTCTTCAAATTGGCAGATCACGAGATCCACAAACACCTGTGGATATTATAGCTATTGTCCGGCCATTTACCATCAATAAAATTTTGTAACTTTTTTTGTTGAATTTTTCGAATGAGATGCAATTATCGATAATAATATTGTTCCAGAAGAGAGTACACCTTTTGGCATTTGCATGATTATTGAATGTTTCTATAATTTGAAATAAATATAGGTATTTAAAGGGATACCATAATGGAGCAAGTTTCATTGTCAATTTACCACTGATAATTAACTACTGCGGAAGTTTCACTGCCCTATTACTTATGAAAACAAGGGTCGATCAGCCATGCAAGTCTAGATTTGTACTAGGCAAAATTAGGAAACAAGATTCAAAAAAATCAGAAACAAATGATATTACTAGGAACTTTTGAGAACCAGATTATGCCAAACACTTTTCTTTCAAAAACTTTATGAAAAAACTATTTTACATATTTTACGAATATCTTATATTTTGTAAAGATGTCTTGTATATAAATACATTTTAGATTACAAGAACAGTGCAGATGCGTCCCGCCTTATTTCCGGTTTGTTCATCAGTCATCACCGAAATAAAAAACTTATTTTAGTGTATGTACATATGGATCGTTTTGTTATTATTATTATTATGTTGTTGTTGTTGTTGTTCTTGTTGGTATATTTACTCTTCTTGTTATGAAAAAATGGCCTTTCTCATCATCTACTGACGACTTCTTTGAAATTTTCAGTGGTTAAAGATTGTATATTCGCTAGAAGGACACTACTTTTATTCATTTCATTAATTTCCGCG